AAATACCTTCTTTTTTTATGTATTGAAAAGAAGGGAGACAAATCAATCCAAAATATTGAGGGCTATTAGATATTTTAAGTTTTGTTGATTTTCAGTTTCCCTTTTCCAAATTTTGGATAAACAAAATCTGGAAATATCGATACTATTAAATATTTTTTTTTTGTTTTTGTTAAAAACTTAAAGTCTCCTGAAAACTGAAATTATATAGTAGGACCCATAATAAAATGTTTGAGACACTCAGAATGCACATATATGTAACACACACAATTAAAAACACTTGAACAAGCATCCTTAGAAGCCTTTGGAAGGTCCCTCAAACTAGGACAAAAGGGAAAAAACAAAAGACAGATGGAAAAATTTCCTTAAAGATGTTCAGGTTGAACTGTTTTTTTATAATTAGCTTTGGATTGTACATTCACATCAATTTAAAGCAAAAAGCAATTGACCTAATGACTGAGGTGAGCTCATAACATTCGGTTTCATGGTTATTTACACCCCCATATTCCCCCTGTCCCTATTGATTATTAACCTGTAATCTTTAATGACGGACGCACATTTAAAGTGCAAAGTGCTGGCTCTGAATGGACCTTGTTCTTTAACATAAACACATTCTGTTGCCGAATGTCTGACATTCAGGGTTCATGGTTTAAACCTGGTCATGAAAAGCATTGAAAAATCTAAAGTATTTAGTTAAATGGAAAAAAAAAAAAACAGACCATAAGTGATTTAAAAAAAAGATTTTCTAACATGGTGGGAAATACAGAAAAATACAAAAATCTATCAAACTGTACTGTTACAAAAAAGGTGTTTTTTTGTTGTTTCTATTGTGTGTATAAGAACAAACAGATGTATGAACTGAGAAGATATGAAAACGGTTCTGACTCATCTCTTCCTATAGGTGGATCCTGTGAAACTGAAGCAGGCTGTGAAGACCGTTCTCTTCAATCAGGTGTTCATCTCTGGACCCATGGTGGTGGTCGTTTACCTCCTGGTGAGCTGGACAGGAGACCCATGCGGCCCAGAGTTGCCCACCTTCCACCGGGGCCTCATTGAGCTGGCCATCTTCTCCATCCTGGAGGAAGTCCTGTTTTACTACTCGCACAGGCAGGCAGCCTTCGCTTTATTCCGCTGGATGGTGGCATGATGAAGATGCTTCTGATATATATTTTTTCTTCACCAATCTCAGGTTGTTCCACCATCCCAGCCTCTACAAGCATTTCCACAAACAGCACCATGAGTGGACCGCTCCCATCGGAGTCGTCTCCATCTACGCCCATCCTCTGGAGCATGTGGTAAAGCCTTTATTTACGTCTATTTTAGTCAAACAGAAAATGGGTTTTTAATGCATTAGAGAGAAAATGCATTATAATGTCCATTTAACAAACCAGGAATTTTTCATTGTTGTGTGTAAAATTGGTGCAGATGGAGTGCACAGCTCATCTGCTTGGCTTGGTGCAGTCACAATAAGGAAGACCAAAATGATGGAGTGTTAAACACTTTAGAAAATTTAACACCAATCCAAGTGCATCTGGTTGCACTCTGAATTAGTCTTAAATTAACTCTCTACATAGTGTATATCTTACTCCAGTTGTTGTTCTAATAACTCTAAAAGTTCTTTGACACTGCATATTTAACACTGTTGAATTTACCATGAAAAGGTGCTCAGGACGTTTTAAAACTAACGTTTCCTTTGCTGTCAGATCTCCAATATGCTGCCTGTGGTAATCGGGCCTGTGATAATGGGTTCGCACATCACTACCACCTCGGTGTGGTACTGCCTGGCTCTGGTGAGCACCACCATCTCCCACTGCGGCTACCACCTCCCCTTCCTGCCATCGCCAGAGTTCCACGACTTCCACCATCTGCGGTGAGGCTTTACTCAGACATTTAAGGTCAAGGGTTAGAAAATTGAAATATCAAACCTATATCTCTGTCGGCTCCTCACACAAAAGTATTAGGACAATTCAGTCGTTAACACCAACAATCTTCTGGATTCCTATATAACTTATGAGTCCATGCTACACCAAATCAAGTCATTTATGTACATATAAACATAAACACACGTGGCTAGACAACTCAATACTACAATTCTTACCCATAGCTCACACTACCACAACCATTTCAAATATACACACACACACGTGTGTGTGTGTGTGTGTGTATATATATATATATATACATATATACACACACGTGTGTGTGTGTGTATATATATATGTATGTATATATGTATGTATATATATGTATATGTATATATATATGTATATATGTATATATATATATGTATATATGTATATGTATATACATATATATATATATATTTATTTATACACACGCACACACATATACACACTTTTTGCAAAATGAAACCACGAGGAGTTCACGAGGAGTTCTGGATAAAGCATATTGGCAGACGAAATAGATTTTAAATACAAAATGTTTTTTATTTTGGTGTAATTAATTAACTAATTTAGTAATTACAATTACCAAATTAGTTAACTTTTATTACTATAATCGATTATGATTAATCTAATTGTTTCAGCCCTAAGATCAATCCAGTCTGAGCTGGTCAGTATCAGGATTCTGTTAAACCTGCGGGTAATACTCTCTACTACTCATGTTCCGAATGATGTAGTAGGGTAAAAATGCTGCAGTCCAGCAGGTTATATCTCATCTTTTAATGTTATTGTCCAACTGGAAGTATTGTTGACATGTTGGAGTGACTCAGACTTTAGTTTGTGAAACAAGGACTTTAAATATTGATCTGGTTACTAGAAATTTCCTCACTGAATGAATCCAATAAACCGTCTCTTCTGGTTTCAGGTTTAACCAGTGTTACGGTGTTTTTGGCGTCCTGGACCGGCTCCACGGCACTGATGCAAAGTTCAGGCAGACGAAGCAATACGAGCGGCACACCCTGCTCACCAGCCTTACCCCGCTCACCCAGAGCATCCCTGAAACGCCTAAGAAGGGCCAGTGATCTGCGGCCTCTTGCTTTTTAGTTCTCAGTCAGTCAGGACTTCATTGATTGTAGTCATTTTAACTCAACTTTTTAACCATTCCTGCAAACTAATTCATTAACATGTTATAATCTAATTATTTCATAAAGGAAATGTTGATCATCTCCTTCCTTCTATAGTGCAGTTTTGCAAGGATATGGACAGTTATGCTGGTGTTGAATCTAAGCTTTATTTCAATTCCTAATCTTCTCTAGCAGCACTTAAAGCTCAGCAGTTTACGCACTTCTGACATGTTTACGACAGAAGAGATGCTGACAGGAGCAGCACTTTAGAGGCATTTGGACCCAAACATGTCTGAAAGCATTATGGCCCTCCCTTTGGGGAATGCAGATGGTGTTCTGGGATGTTCTTTAAAAGATTAAAATACTTCAGAAATGTCATTTCTATGTGCTTTATTTTACTGCACTTTTTAAAGTTTATAAAAAATTTGCTGATTATTTAATCTTGTTTTTTCAAAAAAGGGAAGAATAAATCAACCCTTGCAGATAGAAATATTTGAAGTTTGTTTTTAATTCACTGATTAGGCACCTTCATAAAAAATATTTTTTCTTTTACACACCCCCAGCTGCTGCCAGCACTAAACAAGCCCTGCTTGGGAGATGAACCTTGCCAACTCTCAATTTTTCTTCAAGGGAACTGGACCAACACAGTGAAAGATTGTGGCCTTAAAAAAACAAAAAAATGCTTTTCAACAGATGGCCCTAGAATTCAGTTAATTTCAGTGCATAGAACGCTGACAGATGAGGTGAAACTGGGTTAGGCTACAGTCCCCCAAACAGCATCAGGTTATGCACCTCCAGCAAACCGAACTATTCCATAAAATTGTAAATAAAATGCTTTTGTTTTTTATTTCATCCCAATTCAGTCATGAAATTCTTCAGCATAAGAATATTAACCGACATGTTTTAACTAACATTACAGCTGAATAACAAAATGGTAACAACTGAACTAAAGATCAAATTAAGTGTGTAGTGGGAGGGCTGGCCGTATTGTCTGCGGTTGCCATCATTGTCCACATGTAGGCGCTGTGCTTCATATGGTGCCTAAAGTTGAAAAGCTCAGAGAAGCAGGTTGGTAAGGGAAAATGTGTTTCTGTTGCCTGTAGGTCAAGGTAGAAAGTCGCTTCTTACATAGAGAAGGGAATAGCCCTTTTCCTTATTTTCCGGTGCCTCCCCCACACCCCCTCTTTGAAAACTACTGGTAGGGCTAGAAGACAACATCCCAAAGTTTGAGTGCATACAGCCACCCGAAAATGAGAGCATGGCAGAACTACACTAAAAACTACCAAGACATGAACCAACAGGACAAGCAGCGAATCAGTAATCAGAAACAGGTAACTGGAGGAGCTGCAGCTCAGGTAGAATGTTTCTTGAAGAGGGTCTAGTTATGAAATCTGGCCTTTCTGGAAGAGCGATAAGAAGGAAGTCATGCTGCTGTTAGACACAGAACTCGACCAACATTAATGGACATTCATATTCTGATGAGAAAACAAAAAAATAAAGAGGTACTGGAAAAATACAATCCCAATCTAGAACCCCATCCAATCAGATTTTTTTTTTTGTACAAACAGGGGAGGAGATGAAAAGAAAACCAGTCTTTAGAAACCTAAATTCTGTTGAGAAAGTGGGATTTACTAACTGGATGGGGTGAGCTTAACTGCAACACTTCATTACCTTGTGTTGGTGGTACTGCAGGTCCAACTAAAAGACACTGAAAACGAATGTATGCACGGTTCCCCTTCTTTGCATGAATGAATAACTGGATCTGCAACAGTTGGGGAGCAGGAGCAGCTTTAACCTGCAGAGGTCACCAGGCACTGGGATGGAGCCGTTCCTACACGGCATTTAGTGGGAATGGACCCAAGACCTTCTGAGGAAACGGGGCTTCAAGAAAATGAGCCACTAAAGGGTTAATAAAGAATGGATAACCTCTGCTTCCAGTATGAACCCCCCCCCACAAATGACCACACAGCAGCTGCTGTTTTAAGGTTTTTTTGTCCATTTTCTGTTTTTTTTTTTTCTTTATTAAAGGAAAAGCAAAATTACTACAAATTACAAATAACACTAATAGCGAATCACATCAGCCTACAAAGCAGATATTATGAATATTAAATGTTATAATACAAGATCTCATTCAAGTATTTTACATTTTTTTCCACTTGATATATTTTTTTGTTCCTTTTATCCTCATTTTCATCTTTTTTTTTCCTCATGAGAAGCCCAGGATAAGGAAATGAACTTTTGAATGGTTCAGTTAGTTCTTATTCATATGGCTTTATGGAAACGTGTCCTTTGTATTCAGTCTCATAAGCAGCCATATTCCACCCAATCTCCAGTCAGGATAATCCATCTCTCCTTTCCGGGCAAACGGAGCAGGAAGCACCCCTTAATGTTTGTATGGGAGGCTAGCAGCAGCAGTTCAATGCTGTAAACTCCCACAATAAAATATTCTTTCCATCCAAACAGGTAACGGTCGCATCAGAGGGAGCTCAAAAGGGAAGAGAGGGTTAGTCAGTCAGTCAAGCCTGCAGCTTAAAGCCCCCACATTTCCGGAAAACTTATTTTTTTTTTTTCTTTTCCTGTCGCTGTTCAGATTCTGTCCATCAGCTCCGATAAAGACCATATTTGATCCAGGGACAAATGCATTGTTACGTCCAGACTGAAAAACAAAACACTGACAAGACGAAGGGCTTCAACATTACAACAGTGAGGCGGACCTGATCGGCGAACAGGCAGAGATTCAGATGATCAGAGGACCAGCAATACGGATGCATCCTGACAATTAGAATATCAGCAAAACACGAGCATGAAACTTTTTTTTTGTTTTTTAAGATTCATTAATATTCCTGTTTATATTGAAGATTATGGCCTTCAACTGATAAAAACCCCAAACTATGTTTGCCAAAAATTTTAATCAGGAAAAAAGATAAAAATTCTTTAAAAAAAAACAAAAAGCATGTTATGGCTCAAATGATAGGAGGATTCTGGTTGTTCACTTCACAGAATGCTGTATCCATGCATGTCAGAGAAAAGTGGTGTGAAAGAAAAAAATGTAGTGGAAAAAATGTTGCTCTGCTGACAGGCTTTGTGGAGAAGCTTATTTATTTGCAGCAGAACTGGGCAGCTGTACCCACACAGTACCAGAACTTTTAAGAACCAATGGTGTATAGGTGCAGAGCAGCTGAAGGCTTCGGTTAAAGCCAGAACGCCTCAGCAGAACCACAGGCTGATCGCCTCCAACCCAAACAAAAGGAACCAAAACCAGCTCTGAACTAGATATGGACAGAACCTTTAGGGAGGCAAACATCTCTCACATTTCCTAAATTGCTTCAGTCTAATATTTTAACCATCTGAGGAAATTAATTTCAGGCTTTTTATTAGCTTTAAGCCAGAACCATCAAAACCAACTGAAAAATCTTTAAATGTGTTTCACTTTTAAAAAATAATTTATCTCCAGCTAAACTCAAACTTTTCAGCTTTGGCAAAATTACAATTTCAAACATTACTTAAAGGTAAAAAAAAAAAAGAAAAAAAGGTCAGCTGATGATTTCATGATTAGTTTCTCATGCTACTGTTGGACACTTTCGCTCCTTTTTTAGGTAGTCAAACTAAATACAACCAGATGTGAACGTTACAACTGATGTTCTTCCATTCGAACCAGAGGCCGCTCTAAAGGACGACTGAAAACACAGCGAGTTGAAATGAGGAAGAACTTAAAAGTTATTTTTAAAAGAAAAATTTAAAGACATGTAAGGCATATAAATCCTCTGATCTATGAACAATAAAAGCTAGCAGGGAGCCGAGATCGCTTCACTTCATCTGTTCGGTTCACATTTACACAGGCGTTGAAATCCCCGCTCCTCTGGGGCGTCGGCAGGTCCGGTCCGGTCTGGTCCTGTTCGCACTCGTTAGTGTTCAGGCCTGCGACTGATGTGTGAAAGAAGCGTAGAGGTTCCAACTCTGTCATCAAGGAATCCAGACAACGGTGGTTAAGCATCGCTGATGGATGGATGTGCAGAGGGATGGATGGATGGATGGATGGATGAAGGAGGAGCACCGTGAAAGAGGTCATCTTCAGTTCTCACTTCAGTTTGTTATGATGCTTTCTGAGGGAAGGGTGACCAACTTCCATCAGGAATCTCAGAGTTGTAACAGAAGCAATGAGGCGTGGAAGACTGTCAAACCAGACGGATGGGATCTAAAGGAAAACATGGCAGCCACAGCACCACCTAGTGGCTGCTACTGCAAACAGCCGTGAAGAAAAAACGTAACAAGGAGGCGGGCATGCATCCGGAAGCAGTAAAACCATCAAAATAAGGCAACTTTTGACAATCTAGTTTATAACGAGGGGTCGAAGCAAGTCTCATCATTTGGCTCCTTAATAGTGCCCCCCTAATAGTCCAGCAATAAAATAAATCAAATAGGTCTGATGTTGAGCCTCTTAATGGAAAGTAAAGCCTGCAGATGGAAAGTTTAGTCGCTCGGTCCGAACCCCTTTGGTCCAGATGGCTTTGAGCAGCTAGGAGGAGTAAAAACCTTCCAGTTAGCAGGTTCACCAAGCGGAGCGGGCAGGGGGAGGAAACGCATCAGAACTTTCATTCTTTAGTGATTCAGCATCGAATTAAAACTTCGGAAAAGGTAAAATTAATCAATAAAATAAGATTGATAAGAGCCCCTCCCCCTTCGGTGGCACAGAGACAACCGGCGACATGCAGGCGTGGTCAGGTCGATCCGTGCAGATGGTTGGCGTCCCCGGCTGTGGAGTTACTTCAGTGTTTTGGCGTCTGGTGCGGGTTCTGCAGAGGGAGCGGGGGGTTTCTGGTTCTGGTTGGTGGGTTTGGCAACGTCCTTAGACGAAGAACCTGAAGCAGTAGCAGGAGGGGCCGGACCGGCGCCGCTCGCCTGGCTGTGGGGCCGACTCGAGGACTGAGAGTGATGGCGGCGCCGGCCGTCCCCGCTGGACGGGTGTCTCCTACGTACCCCCTCCTCTATCGGCGGCTGGAAGCAGAAAAAAGGCAGTTTTAATGGGGGAAGCTAGTGACGGATCTCCGACCTCAGCTGTTTCCACTCACATCGATCCTGAAGTCCTCCAGACGCTTGAACTTGCTCAGACACTCCTGCAGTTTGGGGTCGATCTCCAAGTTCTTGGCTTTGGAGTATTTGAGGAAGGCCCAGAACTTCTCCAGTCCATAGAGCTGACCTGAGATCAGGGAGGAGAAAACGCTTTCATTTATTCAATAAAGACAAGGTTGATTCTGTGTCGTATAAGTATTCAAACCCCTTAAAAAAAAAAAACTAAAAAAAAAACTTACCAAAATAACTCAGTATTAGACTGTTACCAAAATGTCTGAAAAGTGTGGCATGCATTTATTTTGAGCCTCAATCTTTAGCAGAGCACCCCTCTCCTCTAAGTCTTCTACTACTATAAGTCAACTCCCTTTAGGACTTTGACGAGGCCAAGCTAACACACACATAATTTGATAAAAGGGTTTTCCTCCTGTCCCAGTCCAGTCCTTAAAAGCTGCATTGTCTAGATGCGTCACTTTCCGGACCCTCTATGCATCGGATTCAAATTTGATGGGGAACAGATACATCTAAAAGTGTCAGGATGGTAGTTCCTGAGGAGGGGACATTAGCACCCCTCCTGGATTGCTGATAGCCCAAAAAAAGAAGCCAAATTGGCTATATTGGTACTCCCCATGGAGATGTGCAGTAAAAATGCCTTCAGGTGTAACATTTGACTGCAAAAACAAGCAGTTTGTCGGCTGTAGGAAGACATTTCCCAGGTAATTTCAGTCAGTGGATGTACTAACCAAGAAAATCCATATATACGGCAATGTATCCTATAGTATAGTATGTAGCGCAACATTAGTCTGGCTATTTCAGACTGACTCAAAGATATTGACAGAGTTAGACTCGACATTGTGTCTAACATTACAAAATAGAAAGTAATTCATTGTGAAATGTCAATGTAGTCATCCTTCATTAAGAGGATGACGCTGTCGTTTTTGTTACGTTTGTTGTATTTGTGATTTTAAAAAGTCATGTGCTGAAATATGTTGCTTATTAAATTGACGAAAATAAAGCAACTCAAACATTTTTAAAGGCTAATGCACGGACACAGCATAAAAGTATATGCCTTCATGCATGCATAATAATTTGCAAATAGTAACACACTATAGCCTTAACAGAAATGTATTTGTAATTCAGTCTTTATGTGATATCTTGAAATTATATAGAATACGCAATTACCATAACAATGTAATCAATACATGTATATTCGGTGTACATCATCCATTTAGCACTTTTGGCACGTTTATTATTATGCTCCATTAACACATTAATGTTGTTGTGATGAGTTTGTATAATATATCATATTAGATCATATTTATAGACTTCATAATGACTATGCAATGTGATGTGCCTATATTTTTATTATAAGTTAAAGTAATCTACTTATGCTATGAAACAGCAAGTGTCAGTCAAAGTGAGGAATTAATATTAATTTTAAGACTTAAGCCCTTCTGAAAATGAGAAAATTGTTCGATGCTGGAGTGCAGATATTGTTTACACCGAGCATGGTCTAACTAGGGAGTACCAATATGGCGGCCGGTGGCTTCACTCAATCCCGTACTACCTAGGGCTATCAGCAATCTACTGAATAAATGGAGATCAGTGGTTTGGACCTCCATCAAGCCTCTATTGAGGTTGTCCTACATTAAGCTTCTTTCATCTTGTCTTTAGTTCTGAGATTCAGCCAGAACAAATTCTTCTTCGTTTTTTAATTCAGTTTAAAAACGTTTGCAGTCTCCTCTTTTTATGGCTACACGCCACAATATTCAGATATTATAACTCATGTTATATTTTCTATCCACTTCCTAAAATCAAACCCGTCTGTCATAAAGTCATCATTACATGTGTCCTATTTAAACTGCTGCTTGTTTCCTCACCTGCTTCGTAATCCTTCATGGTTTCCTCCTGGAAGTCCTTAAAGATGTCCGGTCTGAACTTCCTCTCCAGGCCGTAGCTGTAGTACCGGAACAAACATTCCAAACCGTACCTGCAGAACAGAAGCAGCTTCCCGCTTTGAACTCTGAACTACATCACCCATGTTTTAAACCCTCCTCCATCCAATCGCTACCTGTAGCCCTCTTTGCCGTCCTCCACCACCAGCTGCCTGAACTCCTCGTACATCTTTCTGTTGAAGTGATCCCGCAGGAAGAACGACCAGAAACGGAACAGCGTGTTCATCTCCTGTGACTGGCCAATTCCGAGCCGCTTCCTCTCTGTGATTGGTGGAAATAACATCAGTTTTAGTGGTTATATTTCAATAAATAAGAGCTGCAACCAGCAGATGGTTAGGGGACGCACCGTTGAGGCAGCGCCGGCGGTACTTGTGGTAAACATGTTGCGTGAAGCCGTTCTCCTTCAGCAGCTCGTGTGACGGGTGCTGGAACTTGGGGAGGGACTGAGGCGTGCAGCCGATGTTGCTCAGGGCAGGGGTGCCTTCAGAAGGACTGGCATTGGAGCTAAAGGGGAAGGGAAGGGGAGTGAGTGAGTGAATGTTCCTATAAATGTGGGAACTCCTGAAGCCTTTAGTTTTATTATTCATTTTTCTTATATGGAAGTTTCTAGTTTTTTTTATCATCTGCATCTAAAAGGGACGTAGCACTCAGACCAGCTTGACTGCTCCCTTAAAATGGGAAAGACACGAGAACAAAGGGTACCAAGTGTTCATGGCTCCAAGAACGCAGCATCAGATTATAGATGCACAACAGGTCCATATTCAAGCTCTGCTTAACAATTACATATATGGGCAGGCAGGACGACCTTTACTTCCAGTTGTTCCAACACCTGGTATAGATCTTGGTGAAATCTTAAGGTGTTGTGCAGACATCGTATCGAGAAGAATCAAAGAAAGTACTGATATATGAGAGTACACTACAATCTATAATTCTTCTCTCTGTCCTGTTTTCTTTATATTGCGCCTTAATTCCCAATGATAATCAAAAGATTCAGAATAACCAGAAATGTGGCAAACCAGGCGGGACAACCAGATGTTTAGTCATAGTCTGACAGCACTGGAAAAACTCTTTGCGCTGATTTCATCAGGTTAAAGTCTACCTGACAGAGGCGGTGCGGGAGCGATGTTCTCTGGAGTCCATCACCCAGCCCACGTGACACTCCAAAGGCGGATTGGAGCTGTGCCGAGTCTTCCTCTTCCTTGGTGTCTGAAACAACACAAAAAATGGCATCAATGATATAGCTGATCACTATTCCTCACGAACAGTCAGCATTCCATCGTGGAGGGCGGCGTACCTTTGCATCAACGGGACGACTCTCCTTCACCACTGGGTAGAACCGTGGGGTCATGGTCGGGTCCTTGCGGTGGGGTGTGCGAGGCGTGCGGGGCGTCCGGGCACTGCGGTAGTTTGGAGACTCAGGCACGGTGGTGGGGAGAGAGCGGGCTGCAGAGGACGGCTCTGGAGCACCAAAGAGTTTGTTTGCTAAAGCGTCTGTGGGGACTGGAAACAGGAAGTGAACAATGAGCGACCGAGGAGGCAGCAAGGGCGTCTCAGATCAAATATGATTTAGATCGACCTGCTCAAAATGTCTGATGCAGTGATGGCGTCACCTCAGCCCTGTGCCACCCATAACTCAGTATTAGACTGTTAAACACCAAAGATTTCTAAAACTGAAACCTATTTAGGCAAACAGAAGAGTCTAAGAAGTGGCAGCATATTAAAGGAATAGTACACCCAAAACATGATTAGCCTTCATTTTCTACTCACCCCCATGCTTAACAACACTCTGGAGTACTTTTTTGATATCTCAAATGCATCTGGAGATCTGGGAGGCTTCTTGCTGTCTGCTGACATTCAAATAATGGAGGTCTATGGTGCCCGAGGCAGAAAGGTCCATAAAAGTCCACAAAAAACGTGTCAATATTCCTCCATACTGCTCGTCCAATGTATTCCAAGTGTCCTGAGTGGGTAGCATCCAGAATTTACTCGAAACAAAGTCATTTAGAATGTTTTTAGAGCATAAACAGTAGTGTATAGGACTTCCTGAAAGCGCGCACATGCGCGTTCACGACGCTACGGAAGCCGGCAGACCAAACCAGCGCATTCAGCTCGGCAAAGAACTCATGCTCTTCCTCAACACTGAAGTCCTCAGACATTTTTCTTTCGTTGTTTCTTTCTTTGCACAGGTAAACAGCACATTTCTTCTTCTACGCTTGCATTATTGGCAGAGCAGACGCTGAATGCGCACTTTCATCTGGTTTGGTCTGCCGGCTTCCGTAGCTTCGTGAACGCGCATGTGCGCGCTTTCAGGAAATCCTATACACTACTGTTTATGCTCTAAAAACATTCTAAATGACTTCGTTTCGAGTAAATTCTGGACGCTACCCACCCAGGACACTTGGAATACATTGGACGAGCAGTATGGAGGAATATTGACACGTTTTTTGTGGACTTTTATGGACCTTTCTGCCTCGGGCGCTGGGTACGTCCATTATTTGAATGTCAGCAGACAGCAAGAAGCCTCCCAGATCTCCAGATGCATTTGAGATATCAAAAAAGTACTCCAGAGTGTTGTTCAGCATGGGGGTGAGTAGAAAATGAAGGCTAATCATGTTTTGGGTGTACTATTCCTTTAAATAAGAGATTACATTCATAATATTAGGCAAAGTACTTAAATCACTTCATTAATAGACTTATGTTTCATAAACGAAAATGGTGTTAAAAGTATGTTAAAATTTTTTTTTAAAACAATCCACTGGACTTTGTTTCCAAGTTTGAAGAAGTTTCACTTCCCATCCAGGAAGCTTTTTCAATTCAAAATGTCAGGAATAGTGTCGAGTTCAAGGTTTTATACAGTAGCCTAACAAAGCCTTGTTTTTGTGTTAAAAACACAAAAAGTATGATTCACTTATGTTAAAAGTATTTGTGTTTCTTCCCACTAGTGGCCTTTACTTGAAAGTGAGCTGACAGGAAATGGGGTTGGGAGAGAGGGGCAAAGGTCAACGGGTTGCACGCCTAACTCCTGCGCCACCATCATGCCCCAAGTAGTGAATTTTATTGGGGGGAAAAAAACAAGCAAAAACATAAATTAAATACATCTCCATGTGATATTTCAGTGATATCTTACAGGGAAATAACCTTTATTTATAAAAAGGTTAAAACCACCAATTTTATTCCATCTCCAAGTAAATTAATTTACTGGAGTTTTTGGAAATGTCAGGAGAGTATTTAAAACATACAAAAAACATCATTCCAACGCCTATTTATAATATTTCAGATAAAACTTGATTATTAGTATGAAAACAAAATTAAGACAGTTTTTGTGTCCTTACTTTGCTGTGAGCGGGGGGGACCTGGGGGGACTTCCTGGTTTGGGTCAACAGGGGGTTCAGGTGTCAGGCAGTCAAACTGTTCACGGCTGATCAGGTGGACCTTCTTGAAGTTCTCCACCTCTTGCTGCAAAAGTAAGAAAAAAGCATCTGAACAATCTGAGAAAACAAAATGATCCACAGAGAGTTAAGAGAACGGATCAGTCAGCATCCATTGATAAAAACAGCAGGAGAATAAATCCATAGAGGGAAGGTTAACAGGTGATCTTAGGAGGCTCATCGGTAGACCTTATTTTCAGGAGTCTGGTAACTGAGATGCAGCAGCAAAAGACAGCCGCCCAAAACACCCGCTTCACCTTTAAACCGGAGCTTAACACCCTGAACGGTCCACAGCTAAACATGACAACACAAAGAGTTCCTTTCAGGAAGATGAAATCTGACCCACGTTCTGAGGGTCTCCAGATCTTTGAGCGTCCATCTTTGTCTCCCCCCCAGCAGTTCGTCAGCGCCCCGTCAGGTGAAGGCCTTGTAGGAGGGGTCTATTTATAAACAAGCTACCACGGTTCCATGTGGTGCTGGCTATACGCTGGACAACACGTGAAGGTCCAGCCCAACAATGACACAATAGGCTGTGGTGGTAACAATAGAGAAACTGCTCTGTTTCAACTCTTAATCCAGAAAAAGCTCCAACTGAAGAGGTAGAAAGCTCCTCCTCCTCTGGTCTCGGGCAGAAAAGCTTTGAAAACACAATAACGCCGCATGGAAGCGGTGACACAGCCAGAAAGGTGTAGAACCCCCCCTCACCTTGATGGTGGCGTACTCCGGTTCGTAATTGTCTTCCCATAGGTCCTGCTCGTAGTAGAAGAGTCCGTCGTTGATGACCTTAGCCCACTCGCTGGTCAGCTTGGCGCGTGACGTGTGGTGCCCTGTGCGGTCGCCCCCTGGGTGTTTCCGCAGGTAGGGCGGCGTCTGCGTCACGATCAGGATCTTGTTGACGTCGTGGTCGTCGAGCTCGCAGTCCGAGTCCTCGTCCGACCAGTCGGTGAAGGTGTTGCGGCGTCCGTCTATCTGCTCCATCTCCTCGTCGAACATGAAGTCCAGCTCCTCGGGTTCGTCCTGCTCCGCCCCATCCTGATCCGACCAACAGAAGTTTCATGAACGCATTCTCTCGGCTTCTGAAACTACGGTTCCTACATGTTCTTCACTAAAACGTTTCCTGACTAGATTAGTCAACAAGAATTACTTAGTAGGTGCCTCCAACAGCAACAAATAAGCCACACCAACAGAGGATTACAGACTATGCTTGTCCCTCCCCTACCTGTTGCTGTGTACTGAATGTCAGCCGGTTTCCTATGCTGTTTTGAAAGGCAAATTTGGATGTTTGGAAAAAACACAAGGACACAAAACACAAGCCTAGTAAACTAGCCCCACCCACCAGCGGCCAAATGAATTTTTGCCTGTGAGTTTGGTCTTGCCTCGATCAATGCCCCAGGCCCTACAACTGGCAGGCCAATCACAATGCAAAAATTCTAAACACATTTGAATTTCTGCAAAGCGGGCTGGGTTTTGAGGGCGGGACGACAAAGCTGAGCGACGCTGGAGAAAGCACAACAAGGAAGATGGCAACAACTATTAAACAGCTCCCGTTTGACTCAGCTTTCATATCAGTTTTGGAAGGATTAGACTTGGGGTTTTCGTTGAAACGTGAGCAGGAAAAGGCTCTACGCTGCAGGCTGGTTACCTGAGCATGTAGCCTGACTGCTGGTTAACAAGCTTAGATAAACCTGTTATTCTCTGTATTATTACAGAAAGAGCAGAACCAATGTCAGAAGTTCTACAAACTATTTTGTCTTTGAATCTTAACATCAACACCATGAAGATTACAGAAACTGATTACTTCAAGCAGCAGTAAAATAGTTGCTTCGATGTTTGGTTTATAATAGCAGGTCTAGTACTTTAATATTAGCTGTGTTGTTTTTTTTCTCCATCTCAAGCAGTGAGATTCTCACACCAAATATTTACTTGAGCTCAGCATATTTACTTCCAGCCACCTTTCATGATGAAATAAGCTCCTTTGATCTTCTCTGAATGGCCACCAGCTGCTCCAATTATACATCTACTGCTGCTTCTTCAAAAAGATCAAAAATAAAACCTTTTTTTTTTTTGTTTTTTTTTTTTGGCTGCATATTTTTCCATTTTTATGATGAAAAGTCTTCAAATGAACTTTAGCAGTTTGGGGCAGCAGGGTTGCAGGAAAGCAAGCAACTGTTAGCCTGATAAATCAGACTAAATGTAAGATTTAATGTGTAATTTAGTCAGGCCCGGATGAATGAGACAACGGAATATTGTTGATGAGAACAACCCGTTGTTTTTCAAACCATGTTTGTGCCTATTGGCAAACACTCTGACCAATGAGTGCAACTGACTGTGACGTAGTAAGTGCGACAGGAAGCTGGTGGGGGAGAATAAACAAACATCCTGTCGAAAAAACGGCGAATACGTCCTTTTAAAAAAATTAATAAGCGTAGAGCCTCTTCCTGCTCATGTTTCAACGAAAACCCAAGTCTAATCCTTCCAAAACTGATTCCAAAGCTGAGTCAAAAATCGCCATCAGAGCCAGCGGTCCTTCACACACGGCTATGCAGAGAGATGGCCGCTGCAGACGGGTTACAGTTAGCCCTGGCTGCCGTTAGCCTCAGAGGTCCACTGGTTGCCACAGTCCTCTCAACTTCGGAATGCTTTTATAATTACGCATTAAATGGGTAAATGGACCATATAATGATGCTTTAAAGTATAACATTCTTACCACAAATTATCTCAAAATGTACTTTTATTGAACAGCAGCAACAGAAAAGAGAACTTAACTTTCAATGGAGCGCTTCATTGAAAGCTGCTGCTGCCGCAGTGCATGCTACTGTTCAATAGTTGTTGCCATCTTCCTTGTTGTGCTTTGTCCAGCCTTGCGCAGCTTTGTCGTCACGCCCTCAAAACCCCTCCAGAAATTCAAAACACATCTCTGCGTTGTGATTGGCCCGCCAGTTCTAGGGCTCGGGGCATTGATTGCGGCTAGACCCACTCACAGGCAAAAATTATTTTGGCCGCTGGCGGATGGGGCTAGTTTACTAGGCTATGTAACTGTGATAATACTGCATGGATTTTCCATATCTAACATCTAATTTTTAAATAATCTAATCAATCACCAAAGGCTCGAGTTACTTTTAGTATCTTTGTTGCAAAAACAATCCTCTTGAGATGCTTAAATGTTCTTAATTGGAAAGTTCTAATTTTCATTTGGTTGTCCGACAATTTTTCACCTTTTAGGATGTCAGGAAAAACTTCTGGAAAATATTTAGATTATTCTTTCAAATTTACAGTGTAAATATTGAAATAAGAAAATAATGCATTCCATTTAGTTTTGGTATTTTATCCAGAACCAGTTCAAAACACACAGGCTCAGTCAAACGTGAACTAAACTATAAGCTGGACATCAAAACGCTGTTTCTGGATTCAGAGGCAGGGTCTCATCTTGGAGAACCATCCTTTGAAATGATATAATTTGCATCTGAATCAACACAAAAACTACTCTATTCATTAACTAATGTTATAGTTCTGACCTTCAGGATACTGAAGAATTTGAAAATAATTTTGTGACCCTTATTTTACTTTTTTTTTAACAACTTTTAAGAAACTTAAAAATGGTGAAAGAAAAGTCCAGATTGTATAGAAGCCCTGTCCTTTTCTGTTACATAATGTCCCTGGTGCCCTCTGGAGGCTTTCAGCCGACACTGCATCCAGGCAGTATTTTAGGATCACAACATTGCACACAATGGTGCAAAAAAGGAAAGATCGGACATCCATGCATAAAAAATGTTTAACCTTCTCTTCCCCTCAGGTAGCTCCTCACCTTATTTCCTGAGGCAACAGGGGTGGGCGAAGAGCCAGACTGGGGAACCGGAGAGCGCAGCAAATCGTCTTTTTCTTTCTGTTGCTGCAACGAAGGGGCCTGAATCAGTAGAGGGAGTGTGAGAACAAAAGGAAGGGAAGGGAATTAAGAGATGGAAAATATGCAAAAAAGAAAAATGAAGTGCAAAAACAAACACCAGCTTTATGGCTTCATTTAAAAAAAAAAAAAAAAAAAACACGGAAAAAAGTAAGATGTGGAATACTCATGATGATATGAAACTAGCCAATTTTACTCTGGATTTTTATTCTGGATCTTAATGTAATGAGATGAGCTGGGGGGGGACCGTAAACATTTGAACTGTTCCTACCTTTGGCCTGGCAGGCGAAGGTCTGGGCCTCTTCTTCACCTCGATCCAGGACTCAGAGTCCAAGTCGGGCAGACTGGCAGAGAGTCCCTTTGGCATCGTTTTGAGGTTTGACATGTCGGCTTCAGTCTTGGTCTGTTGCTGCACCGGGGTGGAGGACCTGGAGGATCCTGCAGCAGACACAGATTTATTCAGTTAATCTAATGCAGCAAGAGGTTTCTTTTCAATAAATGTATCAAACTGACACCTACTCCAATTTTAAGCTATAAACGCCATCGTTCAGCAACATGCACCTCTATGCACTTTTTGAATTTAGTTTAAACAAAACAGATAAAGATAACTATGTATGCACATGTGGGGAATGTCTAATTCACTGTTTCTATTGGATTCAAAACTACAATCTGAAAACAACCATCATTTTTTTGAGTCAAAATAGAAACTATTCAAATAAGTCCAAATCTGAATCGGTGGGTCAGACCAGAGAAGTGCATTTTTACAAAATGGATTTCTCTGATTAAAAAAAAGAAAGAAAAAAGGAGTAAACAAAGAGGCAGACTGTTCTTTTTTCTGCAGATTCTCACCTCTGAGCTCCTCAGTCATCTGCCTGGGAACAAACTCAGGACAGTTGATGAGCTGTGAGAAGTCTGTGTGTGTGTGGTTCGGCACCATCAGGCCTGGAAGAGGCCACTTTTCAGGATCCTCCTTCCGACGGATCTTCATGTCGATAATCTCCACCTCTTTACTGTCCTTTAAAGCCTAAGAGCAAACACACTGCATGTTAAAGACAAGCATACATAAACATGACGCTAACACAGAAATTATTTTTTTTCGCTACGCTAGCGGTTCATCCGATGAGTTCGAAATCTTTATTTTTACTGTCTTTACATGTTTCCAAATAAAACTTTTGCTGATTCAAACTGCCTGTTAGAAGCAATTTAATTTGTCTTCAGGCAACTCTATGTATGTACAGTTAAAAATAAATTAAAAAACAAGTTGAAAATTGTCAACTGTCACCCATCAAATAACATTTTTTTAATGAGATCAGGGGTTTCTGAAATGTGGAAAAAATGGTGTGATTTTCTGTTCTACAGAAGGCTTAAATGTTAAATAGTTTTACTAAGTAAAGATTATTTCAATCAGAACATTTCTAACTGAAAATACATTTATTAGGCCCCGTCCACACGAAGACGAACCCTGGCCGAAACGCACAAATTTTTCACCAAACCAGCCTCTCATCCACACGAAGCCGGCGTTTCGGGGGTCTGTAAACAATCTTTTTTTTATTCAGCCTTCAGAGTGGGAAGATTTCGAAACGCCGTTTTAGCGTTTCCATCTTTACGCTCTAACCGCATATTTTTTTTTACATGCATGCGTCATAGCGTCGCCTCTAAACACGCATGCGCGACACATCTCAACAACAATGGCGCCGTTGCTGCTAATGCTACTCACCCTGCTGTCGGGCTTACAACAGAATCTTCTTCTTCTGGAATATCTCCAGGAAGAACAGAGCAATATCGACGACATAGTTCAACACCTGAATTTGACTTAACCACGAAAATGGACCCGCAGGGCAACCATGTATAAATATTAGTGCGCATGCCCAACATTTCGTCGCTTATTTTTGCTTTGACACCACAGCGCCACTTACAGGCCTGGCATACATTTTGCAGCGTTTTCATGCATTCGTGTGGACGCTCACATTTATTTTACGTCTCCGTCTTTACGGCAAACGTTTTGGAAAATATCAGCGTTTCGTGTTCGTTTTGACTTTGTGTGGACGGGGCCTAAAACTCCTTAAATCACAACATTTCTCTCTATTGCTTAGCTCATGATGACGTTATTGACAATGGGCTGAAACTATCATGCTGCCCCACTAGGTGGCCATTAAACTGCACATTAACATAAAGAGGAAAATTACATTAAGCATAAAAAAAAAAAAAACTTAAAGTTTTCTCATAATTTTCCGATTAGATTTAGATCTTGCATTAAACCCTAATAAAATATTTTAAAGGTTTCAGCTGTAAGGAAAGAAATCTTTGCAGGACAGGTTTCCAGTTTTATCTAAAATTATCACAATCAATGGAGAAAAACAAAACTTAAAAACGCCGCTTCCAATGTGCTTAGAACCTTTAACATGTGCAGAAGAGTTATGCTAAATCTTTATTCTCACAGTCCTACTTTGGAGCACCAAATATTCGGGTTCTAAAAATCCAAATTTTACTGTTAATATCAGGGTTTTTGCAACCAAAAATTCCCCTTTGAAAGATATCTGCATTAGTCTGGATGGGTCAAATATTAATACTTTGCACCAATTCAAGCACACACAAAAAATCAGGCTGACAAAAGTTAAACCTTCTTTTGGCAGTTTATGATGCTGATAATTAAACCATCCACATTTCTGATGCATTTTTACCTCCAGGATCAGGTTGACATCTGTGGTGAGGGCCTGAACTCTGTGGAAACTGGCGATGAGTCCAACCGGCAGGAAACCTTCCTGGTCCATCTTCCTCCGTAGGAAGAAGTCCCGCTCCAGGTTATCCAGGCTGAAGTAGTACTCTCTATGGAAAACAGGAGACAACGTCTAGTCATCTGCTAAGTTCAGCATTAAATTAAGGCTTCCCTCATTCAGGAAATAAGCTTTACCCAACTACAGTTAATGTAAGCTTTTAAGAAAATACAGGTGCTGGTCATAAAATTAGAATATCATGAAAAAGTAGATTGATTTCAGTAATTCCATTTAAAAAGTGAAACTTGTATATTATATTCATACATTACATACAAACTCATATATTTCAGATGTTTATTTTGTTTAATTTTGATGATTACAAATGACAACAAATGAAAATCTCAAATTCATCATATCAGAAAATTAGAATATTACTGAAGACCAATAAAAACAAAGGATTTATAGAAATGTTGGCCAACTGAAAAGTATGAGCATGTACAGCACTCAGTATTTAGTTGGGCCTCCTTTGGCCTGTATTACTGCAGCAATGCGGCGTGGCATGGAGTCGATCAGTCTGTGGCACTGCTCAGGTGTTATGATAGCCCAGGTTGCTCTAATAGTGGCTTTTAGCTCTTCTGAATTGTTGGGTCTGGTGTATTGCATCTTCTTCTTCACAATACCCCATAGATTTTCTATGGGGTTAAGGTCAGGAGAGTTTGCTGGCCAATTAAGAACAGGGATACCATGGTCCTTCAACCAGGTACTGGTAGCTTTGGCACTGTGTGCAGGTGCCAAGTCCTGTTGGAAAATGAAATCTGCATCTCCAAAAAGTTGGTCAGCTGCAGGAAGCATGAAGTGCTCTAAAACTTCCTGGTATGTGGCTGCGTTGACCCTGGACCTCAGAAAACACAATGGACCAACACCAGCAGATGACATGGCACCCCAAACCATCACTGACTGTGGAAACTTTACACTGGACTTCAAGCAACGTGGATGAAGTGCCTCTCTTCTTTTCCTCCAGACTCTGGGACCTTGATTTCCAAAGGAAATGCAAAATTTACTTTCATCAGAGAACATGACTTTGGACCACTCACCAGCAGTCCAGTCCTGTTTCTCTTTAGCCCAGGCAAGACGCTTCTGACGCTGTCTGTGGTTCAAGAGTGGCTTGACACAAGGAATGCGACAGCAGAAACCCATGTCTTTCATACGTCTGTGTGTGGTGGTTCTTGAAGCACTCACTCCAGCTGCAGTCCACTCTTTGTGAATCTCCCCCACATTTTTGAATGGGTTTTGTTTCACAATCCTCTCCAGGGTGCGGTTATCTCTCTTGCTTGTACACTTTTTTCGACCACATCTTTTCCTTCCCTTCGCCTCTCTATTAATGTGCTTGGACACTGAGCTCTGTGAACAGCCAGCCTCTTTAGCGATGACCTTTTGTGTCTTGCCCTCCTTGTGCAAGGTGTCGATGGTCGTCTTTTGGACAACTGTCAAGTCAGCAGTCTTCCCCATGATTGTGTAGCCTATAGAACTAGACTGAAAGACCATTTAAAGGCTTTTGCAGGTGGTTTGAGTTAATTAGCTGATTAGAGTGTGGCACCAGGGGCCATCAATTTTGAACCTTTTCACAATATTCTAATTTTCTGATATGATGAATATGAGATTTTCATTTGTTGTCATTTGTAATCATCAAAATTAAACAAAATAAACATCTGAAATATATGAGTTTGTATGTAATGTATGAATATAATATACAAGTTTCACTTTTTAAATGGAATTACTGAAATCAATCTACTTTTTCATGATATTCTAATTTTATGACCAGCACCTGTAATGTGAAGGATGGCAGATTGACAAAAACTCAATTTAAGTTTTATTTGAGGACTGCCTTATAAATAAAACACTTGTTTACATTTAAAACATTTATTCTGACGTTTCAGGATCTCCAGAGCTGCATGTTTAAGACCCTCTGAACAGCTGATCAGTTTTATCAGCATAGTTAATAATCAATAACTAAACAAAGGATAACCAGGAGTAAACAGAGAAGCAATAAGATACACTTTATGTTAGAACCAATAGTTCAAATTCAAAGGCCTCTGTCAAATAATACTCTAATAAAAAGATTAGTGCTGAAAACCCAGTAGATTTTTATTTGTAACCATTTAGAGGATTAAATGTGGTTTTGATCGATGCTGCGATCAGAGCTGTAATCTTTCTCCACTAATGTTCAGTCAGAGAAGAGACATGAGGAGCTCATCACTTCTACAGCAGCTCTGCAGATTAGAGCCCACCATATTTGTCGTTGCTTAGAGGGAACATCTCTGAAAGCCAGCTTACATCTGTCTCTTGATGTAGTCTTTCAGAAGGTCCTGGTCCACAGAATAAAGCTCGCTGCTGCTCATGTTGTCGTAGTAGTAGGTGACAGAGTTGCCGTACTTCTGGCCGTACTGTCCGTCCTTCGGGTCATACGACTTGTAGCCGTAGTGGTAGTCGTAGTGACCTGCACAGGAGATTAACAAACCAGCTTCAGATTTTATGTCACTTTGATGCAATAATCCATCAGTAGTTAGGAACTTAAAATAAAGCTAAATGCCGGCAATAAAAATGGGAGATTTTGCGTATAGAAGAAGAAAACAAAAAGCCTACTTCTGCCTCCTCGGCCTCGTCCTCGCCCCCTTCCTCTTCCACGTCCTCGACCTCTGAACCCTCCGCGGAACGGCGCCCCCTCACTCTTCACGCTGGACACCTCGTCATGGTCATCGCGCCACTCCCGCTCGTACCTTTGACTGTGCCAGTCTTCAGGAGAAAAAAAAACAACAAATCAGCCCCTCAAACAGCGAACTTGACATTAAATCCACAGACCGTTGTGACCTTTGACCTTATCTAATAATTCTTATAGAATGTTTTAAACCATTGACGTGACTAGTTTACTACCCCATTGTCAAAGCAGAAGTTTAACAGTTATCTGTTCACATCCTGCAGGCTGTGAACTAAGGCTCGGTCAAACAGCACCATCTGGTGACTGCAGTTACTCCCTGAAAGCTTTGCTGCATAAACTGGTTTCCAGTGGGGATGACCCCCTTCCCCACACTGACCTCTGAGGTCGTTCCTGGCGTTGGGAGGAAGGCGCTGGTGTTCGTTCTGTCTGCTGTTGTTCCTGGAGGCCGAGCGCTCCCTGGGACCCTCTGGCTTCACGTCGATCATCAGAGGAACCCACTTCTGCTTGTTTCCTGTTTGCGACAACATGAAGAGGTATAGCAGTCAGGGAGGAACTAAATGTTTTAGTTCCTGCTTTGGCAGGTTTACTGTTCTTTTCTTTCTCTACATCAAAATTTTAAAAGAAAAAGAAATTTTTCTTCCAATTTTTAGCATATTGACAGAAATTTGATGGTTTCACTAATGTAAAGCCTGAAATATTAACCAGAAGCTAAACATTTTCAACCTCATCTAGAATTGTGCTGCTCAAGGGTGCAGCACAGTGTTGCCGTTAATGTGAGATTATTCCCCACTCTGAGTTTCCTGATGCATCACTGAACGGATCTTAAAGACATAATTTTATTTTATTTTTTTTGGACATTTGTCATGATTCCAAAAATTGTTCAAGAGGAGCTAATTGACATCTAAAAAGGTCAAATAATACTTCAACCCAGCCACAAATCCCAGGTGGGTTAAAAACAGCATGGATAAAGTGTAAAAGCAGAGAGGGAAAAAAAAGAGAGTTCATCTCTTTTATGTATTGTAACTGGCATTATTAGAAGGATGGGGTAAAAAGTTGGATGAACTTTAAGCTGAATAAGGACCCAGCAGGAGTATTAGCAATGCAGTATAATGTATTTCACTGAAACATGGCTGCAGGAACATACAGGCAACTCCAGTGTCTGTTAGCTGGGCTTCCTGACCATACAAGCAGAAGATGTTTTTGCAAAGAATGAATGGTGATAAAATGCTCGTAATTATGGAAATCCCAGAGATAGCTTCAATAAAGCATCCTCAGTCACAAGCTTCAATAGATCCACTGTGAGACAGCCCTCTACAGGAGAGCCTTCCTGTCCCCAGCCATATGAATCTATAACAACTCATTTAAAAAAACCCATTCAGTATGAGATAAAATGTTTAATTTCCTTCCCCCCACAAACATAAAAATGTCCACGCATGAAAAGGACCTGATAATAATGATATCAGCCAGGTAAGATCAAAACCTTCAGATGGCAGGTGTTTACAGAAAAAAAAGATACTCGATAAAACAGGCAAAAATTTGGGTTGATGTCATAATAATGAAACAAATAAACGATATTGTTGATTAAGGGTTTATTAGATTAGAATTTGATCCATCTGTTTGTGATAAAGAAAGTGATAAAGAAAGCTTAAATGTCTTTTAATGATAGCTTTACAATCCTGTAAATTAGAAATAATAAATATTTTACATTTTCTATCTTTTTTTTTTTTTTTTATTTAGTAATCCAACAGATTCCCGTTTTGTTTTATCTTATACACACGTCAGAGTTTTAATTAAGTGTAAGACATTTAGTCATTTAATACACCTGGCAGATTAATTGTTAATATATAACAATATACTATTTTTCCTTTCAGCACATTGTAAAAAAAATCTTTAGCCCTTCACATTATGAAAAGATTTGCTTTATGAAAGAGTAAAAAAAAAGTTTGTCAATTCATAAGGTCAATAGACTTTAGACCAATTCATTAGTCAATAACTTGCATCCATAATGCAGTCAAAAAGATAATTAAAGTTTGCATGTTTTTTCTGCTTTAGAATTTAGAGTGAACATAACCCTAGATTAAGGTCGGTCAATCCAGCTGCTTGAAAAATCTAAATTGACTTGGTCCATTTTAACCAATCTAGAGAGCAACTGCTAAAAACTTAGCTGTATTAAAGAACTTAGCAGTCCCTGAATATATTACAGGCACAGAGAGGCTGAAGGAATGGAGTTCGCATTGTGACTCCGCCTCCGATGTGACCCTCTGCTGAAATGTCTTGTGTTACATGTGCTTTTCTTGTGCTGAGGTATTTTTTGATATCTCAAACTGTATCCTGTCAAGGATAAAGTGTGAAATATGCTTTTTTCCCCTCTTCCTCCCCAATGTGGCTCCTATCTTTCCCCAGAGATAAAAGGCAGCGCTATAGGTAACCGCCTCATAGTGGGAACCTGGGAAGCCATAAAAACGCACAACATGCAGTGTTCTGCAGCACGCATGGCCTCAGTAGAACCGTTCCCCCTCTCAGCCCCCCCCACTCCACCTCAATGTATGTGACGTATTGTGATGAACAGTTTGTACTGAAACAGAAATCTCAACTGCAATGTAGATTGTAGTTAACAATAAAGTTGATTGACTATTAAATAATCAGATAAAATTTACTGCGATCAAAGCGGTTCTTCACCATATTAATGATCTACAGATATCCATTTGAAATATGTTAAGCTTAACAAACTTGGACGAATGAACAGAGATGGTAGACGACCAGATGGAGAATAGATAAACGGATGAAAGAAACCATCTGCACTACATCTCCTGGCCAACAGGGAGCATCAGTGAGCTGCTGCGTTCCTTCCTTCCTGTTCTAGGTCTTAAACCAAAAAGGATTTAATAAGGTTTAAAAAATATATGGCCAAATTTCAGAACAACTTCAGAGGTTGCTTAAAATAGCTTTTTAAAGAATGAGATTGGTTTCATGTTTTAGGTGTTAACTGCGTCTCACATTAGACATCAGTAGAAATCCTAGAAGTGCTATTATATTCCAGCTGCACCAGTGGTTGGCAATTATGTGTACAAAGAGGATGTGTTTTAGGTTTGTAAGCTTCTCTTTCTTTTTAACAAACATATCTATTATATTCGCCAAAGAGGTAAATATTCCCTTAGTAACCAGAAACAGGAAGTTTTAATCTCATCGGATCTCTGATTAGGAGAAAAAGTGGTTTTGATTGCACATGTAAATATCTCAGCTCTTTACAGAGAAAACACTGAAGGTCACCATGTTGTGAAGGTCAGAGAAGATTGTCTCCCTTCCCCAGTTAAAAACCTTGACGCTGCAGCCAAAACAGGTACCTGCCAACACCATGCAGTAGAAAAATGGAAGCAGTGCTCCCCCTAAAAAGCCAGCACGTCAGGCCTTTTAAAAACTCTGCAGACAGCTTCTATCGAACAAAAGGAGAATATTTTAAAGGAACTAATATTCAGCTATTGCAGGGGTCACCAACGCGGTGCCTGCAGGCACCAAGGGGCCCTCAAGGACCACATGGGGTGCCCTCAACGCCTTCTGAAAACAGCAACTCAGCAGTGGGCTAAGTTTGAAATTTTATTTTATTCTGTGACTCTTCTTTTTAATCATTTATAGAGCATTTCATCATAGTAATCATATAGGGCATTTTAGCATTTATAGAGATTTTAAAATTATAATGTTTAAAGGAAAATTAGAAATTAAAAGTTAATAAAAATGTGTTTAATTTGGATGAAGTTTAGGTGAACTCTGACCCCTCTTGTTCATAGGTCAGTATTGGTAGCCCTTCCTATGATTCAATAGCCATGAAGTAGCCCTCAGCCTTGAAATGGTTGGTGACCCCTGAGCTATTGTTATATTCCACAATCTGGCAATCTAGATCACCAGTTCCACCAATCTACAGCTATAGTCTCAACGTTTGAAGTTCTGTGTTTCTAGCAGCATTTTGGTGACTCCAGTTGCCTGCAGTTAAAGTGGAAGTTATTTCTTCCAAAAATGGGGGAAAAAACTACCTTTCTAATAATACCTTGATGATCAGGTTCTTCCCAATGAATTGTGTATATTCTAAATTCAAGAAAGAAGGCATGAAAAAGATGAAGATAAAAGAGTAACGAGAGAATAAAATAAAGTCTGAAGGGAGAAATTAAAAAATTATAAAAGAAAAAAGGATGAAATGATAAGGACACCAGAGAAAGGACAGACAGTGAAGGAAATTAAGACAGGCAGATAGAAACAGGGAAGGAAGCAAAGAACAAGATGGAAAATGGGACAAAGAGACAAGAAAAAGATGGAAGGATGGGCATGAGGAAAGACAGAAGGGACACGATGAGGCTGTAAGGAAAAAGGACACAAAAATATAGGGGGAAAAAAAGCTTTTAAAAAGTGGGATCGGGATTAAAATACTGAGACCAGACTCGGTAGGAAATCTGTAAAGATTAAGTTAATTAAGATTTACCAACTAATTATCAACAGAAGCTCCTCTTTAACATCAAAACAAGTTCAGAATTAAAAATTTATTTTTAAAAACTACGATTTTGGTGCGTATTTGCACTCAACACATTTAATTTTTTGCACCTTGATTTTTTTCTCTTTCCACACCGTTTACATTCGATCACTGCTGCACCTTAAGGAATGGAAAGGTTCTCAAAGCTATACAAAACGAAATTTCATTTTGCATACACTTCTGTTTATATAAAAGGACAATAAAGGTTGTCCAATTCTAAGTCTAAAATAAACAAAAGACATTATATACATTTTAGAAGGGGATCATTTCAATCTATTTTTCTTCTGGACTTAAATTTTTAGCTGATATTCACCTTTCTTCTTGGGCCCATTTTTCTGCGAGTCGTCGTCTCCATTCTTCTCCTCTCCGGAGTCGTCTGACTTGGCTTTCAGGTTTTCCTTGCTCTCCTCGTTGCTCTCCCTCTTCTCCTTAGTTTCCTTTTTAGCCGTTGACCTTTTAGGGCCCTTGAAACACACAAAGAGAAATTATTAAAAAAATTACCTTCTGTGTCGAGCAATTTGTATATCCATAAAAAGATAAACATATTTTACCAAGTCTAAAAATAGATTAATCGTGATTTAAAAAAAAGACAAAAACCCAGAAAAAAACAGCCCCAAAGAGCAGACATACAATCCTTGACTGCAGCGCTCGTTAATGCATTGCTTTAACTGGTTTAATTATGCTCTGAATTCCTGTGTCACAGTGATTGGTGTTGGACAGCAGCGTGGATGAATGCCATTCAGCTTTGGAGGCATTAACACATTTATAACCATTCATTTACATGTGTTGAGTGCCGAAAAAAGCAAACCAAAGTTCAGCTTCCACAACGATTACAACAAACAATGCAGTTTTAAACAAGTGATTAAAGAGGATTTAATCTACTAAAAACATTCCTGTAGAAACAAAAGACGTCACCAGAGAAGTACAACGTTGGTAGCAAAACTAAATCCCAGTCTAATCAACCTGCTCTCGGTTCTCAGTACAAAATCCAGAGTACAGAGTACCTTAGTCTTTGTTTAAGGTTACCCACTTTTGTATTTGTGTGAGCTTAAACGCCACGCAGTAAGGAAGAAGCCAACACACCATAGATGAGGAATAGAAACCTCACAGATGGATGTAAAGGTTGACATAATTGTATCTTTAGAAATTATGTTTAATACTTAATTTCCTTTTAATAACCATATATCCTGTAAATAGGCCATTTTAATTAGGAATGACTGAATTCCTAGACGACCGAGCATTTATCAATTTGAAGATCATCACTGATCATGCCATTAGTTTTCCTGCAGCTGTTCAAACCACCATATTAGCAAGAAGCAGCAAAAATGTGAGGTAAAAGGTCTGTTTATGAAAAAAAAATATATGCACCTTATTTACACTTCTTACCCTGATGAGGGAGAAAAAAACCCTGGAGGATTCATACATTATACCAATTCTAACCATTTAGCTTATTGAAGATATATCATCATCTAAAGAGGACAAAAGAAAAATTTTATACTCCCACTAATGATGTAAAATCTCAAACTCCATAAAATGATCCCTAAGCCATCGTTATTACAATATCAATGTACAAATTACATGCATCAGAGATCTGTCTGAATGCCCTGGTCCTTTCCCTCATGTCTTCTCAACTTCATATTAGCCTACCATAAAGGGAGAAGGAGTCTGTCCTATCAATGCAGACAGATACCATAACATGTAATTGCTAATCGTATTCATAAAGGCAACATCCTCAAATTTCAAATGTTTATCCAATATCGTGCAGCTCCTGTCAAAACAAGGGGTGCACATCCAGAACCAGGCCGTCATTCACAAGAGATGGAGTTACAGAGTCAACGCAAAACCCAATACTGTTACGCCCAGCATGTTGACTTTATCAGCCATTAGTAGATACTACAAAACGCCTTTAAGGACAGCTTAAAGGACAAAAGGTTTATTTTAGTTGATCTGATGTAACAGATCTATAAATATTAAAAAATGGAGCTTATACGGAAATAAAAAGAGGTGGGAAGTTTAAAATATGTATTAAAGCTGTAGTGCCTTCTTTAGAATCAACTTCAACACTTTGGATTAAAGTTGTTAACATTTTTGTTTTACGTCAGAAATGTTCTCACATACACTATATTGCCAAAAGTATTTGCTCACCTGCCTTGACTCACATATGAGCTTAAGTGACATCCCGTTCCTAATCCATAGGGTTCAATATGACGTCGGTCCACCCTTTGCAGCTAGAACAGCTTCAACTCTTCTGGGAAGGCTGTCCACAAGGTTTAGGAGTGTGTTTATGGGAATTTTTGACCATTCTTCCAGAAGCGCATTTGTGAGGTCGCACACTGATGTTGGACGAGAAGGCCTGGCTCTCAGTCTCCGCTCTAATTCATCCCAAAGGTGTTCTATCGGGTTGAGGTCAGGACTCTGTGCAGGCCAGTCAAGTTCATCCACACCAGACTCTGTCATCCATGTCTTTATGGACCTTGCTTTGTGCACTGGTGCACAGTCATGTTGGAAGAGGAAGGGGCCAGCTCCAAACTGTTCCCACAAAGTTGGGAGCATGGAATTGTCCAAAATGTCTTGGTATGCTGAAGCATTCAGAGTTCCTTTCACTGGAACTAAGGGGCCAAGCCCAGCTCCTGAAAAACAACCCCACACCATAATCCCCCCTCCACCAAACTTTACACTTGGCACAATGCAGTCAGACAAGTACCGTTCTCCTGGCAACCGCCAAACCCAGACCCGTCCATCAGATTGCCAGATGGAGAAGCGCGATTCGTCACTCCAGAGAACGCGTCTCCACTGCTCTAGAGTCCAGTGGCGGCGTGCTTTACACCACCGCATCCGACGCTTTGCATTGCACTTGGTGATGTATGGCTTGGATGCAGCTGCTCGACCATGGAAACCCATTCCATGAAGCTCTCTGCGCACTGTTCTTGAGCTAATCTGAAGGCCACATGAAGTTTGGAGGTCTGTAGTGATTGACTCTGCAGAAAGTTGGCGACCTCTTCGCACTATGCGCGTCAGCATCCGCTGACCCCGCTCCGTCAGTTTACGTGGCCTACCACTTCGTGGCTGAGTTGCTGTCGTTCCCAAACACTTCCATTTTCTTATAATACAGCTGACAGTTGACTGTGGAATATTTAGGAGCGAGGAAATTTCACGACTGGATTTGTTGCACAGGTGGCATCCTATCACAGTTCCACGCTGGAATTCACTGAGCTCCTGAGAGCGACCCATTCTTTCACAAATGTTTGTAAAAACAGTCTGCATGCCTAGGTGCTTGAATTTATACACCTGTGGCCATGGAAGTGATTGGAACACCTGATTCCAATAATTTGGATGGGTGAGCAAATACTTTTGGCAATATAGTGTACCTGTACGATACCTGAATACTTAATTCCAGCACCTTTCATTCATGTCAACAATATGTTCACCTTATCGAGAGACTTTTACTACCCATATGCTACACCTGATCTTTACAAACGGATGGAGAATTGTGGAGAGGAAATGATAAGAAAATTTTGGTGTAATTATACAGATATCATTGTCACATTCAGGGACACAAGAGATGCTGAAAGAGGTCCAAACAGAGCAGCATAAATATGCAGCTTTGAATATCCCCACAATATTTCCCTTTGACTAAATCTGCACAGTTTACAGTTTATTTCAGACAAAACATTAAAACCAAGTGGGCCAGAGGTGGATTTGCATGTGGTTTAAGACATTTCAGACCCCTTTTGTGCAGCTCTCAGAACATTTGACTACAGCAGACCAACACTCCTACTGTTCTACACAGGAGGGAAAAGCTGGTGTGGAGTAGTTCATGAAATGTTCTCACAGGTTATCTTAACTCCCTAAGCTGATATAACATTTATTCAAATCCAGCAGCATTCAGCCTCAACTGAGGCCTCAGCAACATGGCTATCTATAAACGCTTGGTGCAAAAACGTTTGCATACCAGTCATGTTTAATATTTGTCTCCCTTTCTGCACAACCTTACAAGACAGAAGTCGAACACTTATCGAATCACACCAAATTCAAAGATCGCAGCCAACATGCTTGTAGCAGAGCTCTTAAGGCTGATTTATACTTCGAAACTAGGTCGTCTGCATCGCAGTAAACAAAAAAACGTCTCCGCCCCTTCCACAGACACTCTCCTGCACCTCTCCCAAATTGTAGGTGAGCACAGACAGCGCCGTAGACAGGACGCCGGCTTGTTTTGTTTTTATGACCGAAATTGCTGAAAACAACTCGTGAAGTTGGACCAGCTAGAAGTGCGAGGTGTGCGAGAACGCTGGGACCCCTTTCCACCTGAATCCCTGCTTTTTTTTTTTTTAACTGTCATGTACTTCCATTGTCGGACAAACTCGCCCCCACTTCGTAATCGCCTCGCCGTATCTAGACCCACAGCCTATAGCGCAGACCACGCTTCAATGCTGGGCATAAATCAAAAATGTCTGCGTCAAGCTCACTGCGACACACTGCTGCAGGAGTATAACCAGGCCTTTAGTCTAACACATTAGGTCAGAGTAAAACTGACAAACTCTTCCATTTAACTTGTCAAACAGTGAAGGAACGGAAAGCCGCAGTACTGAACTTAACATTTCTCTGATTCTAATACCCAACATTTGTCTTTTTTTTTTGCTTGCATGTTAAGCTTGTTGAGCTAATGTCTAATGGAAGCTTTGGTCTTTTGTTTTTATTGTTTAAACTTTTATGTTTTACATGCAAAATGGAAATAAGGCTGCCTATAATACCTGCCAAGAATGGATCAAATGTTCTGGAGTTGATTGTTGACTGTTGACAACAGCAACCGAACAGAATTTACACCATAACATTTATTTAATCAGCGTTAACGACACGGCCTACATTCATGGATGAATGATGTTATATGGAAGAAAAAAACCTTATTGACCTAATTGAAATATGCCTAATTTTAATACATTAAAATATAAATAGCTGTTTTTTCATGACGGATTGTTAAAGCTATAATAGTATTCCAGCTCTTATAGTCATAATTGGCTTAAAGAGCAAATATATTTTACATCCTAAAAAAGTATCAAAGAAATTGATCACCACCTGCATTTTTATTGGTTTTCAGGACTGATTTGAATCACAGGAACACTGACAGACAGACCGACCCTATGGAGGCAAGCCACCCTGAAACAGGAAGGCACTACCATATATGGATGAGCTCTCAACTACGGGCACAAAAATATATATATTATTTTATTTTTGAAAATTGGGTTGTTTTTTGTTTTGTTTTTTACCAAAAGGCCTTTCTGAAATTATTATTTTAAACTTGTTTCACACAAGTTTAATATTGTGAATCTGCAGCCGGAGCAGGAGAGAATCATGGGTGTTTGCGAACATGTTTGTTTGAAACTATAAAAATGTATTTTCTAGTCATTTCCCCCCCCCATTCTAATCTCAGCTCCTGTCCACCATTTGTGTTGAAAACTAACTCCTGTCGCTATGCAACTCTCCATCATGTTAGTCATTATACTCTGCTTCAGGTGCAAATCTTTTCTCAGTGTCTGAGCCAAATGAAGGAGTGCTCATCTCGGGTTTCACTTCCAAACACCACATGCAACAAGATCTCAAACCAGTTTTTAGATTCCAAATATATGAGAAAAATAAAAAATAATAATTAGTCAGATCTCTAAGCCACTCAAAGAAATTTCATAATGAATCTTTGTTCCCTCGCGCAAGGACTGGCCTTTGCTTGGCTGATTTGCTCCTGCTTCCACAACTGAAAAGGAAAAGTTACCCGATGGTTATGTATTCTTAAAAATATATATATATATATACAAAATTTTAAATACTCACAAGTCAGTCATTGCACCATGGAAATAGAATTTTTAGAATTGTAAATCAGGGTTTCTAAATCAGCATCTCAATTAATTAAAAGAAAGAAGTAAATGTTTATTTTTATTTCTCTAATATGAACACAACTCGGACTGACAGCAAGTGTCTGAAAATCTAAATGGTTTTCATCAATTAAAACAAAACCTTTTTAAGACAGTCTTTAAATGAAAGAAAACCAAAACATGCATATAACATTTTAACCTTTGGACTAAATCATGCCTCAAATTCTACGTGCCAGGTCGTTGGGTTCATTGCGCTGCCAAAAAATGGCTCCACTGAATTGATTTCTTTCTCGTTAGTTCAACATGGTCTGCAGAGAATGAAAGTGTTGCACAATAAGCTTCTAACTCTGCGTGCAAAAGCAGTTAGGGTTAATATTTCATTGTGAAAAAGAGAGCCTCTTCTGTTCTTGAGCTGAAATAGATGATTAAAGACTGGCTTCTTTTTCTGCCCGGAGGATTTCTTTTATTTTTGGTCCAATGATTAGCTACAGAGACTGATTAGTTAACAGGCTGGCAGGCTGCAGGTTGAACTTACAGTGATTCTCCATGAGTCTCTGACCTGCCTGAGAGGCGGCGGGCAGGACACGGTCTGTCCCACTACCTCCATCTGAACACAAGGAGGGAAGAGCAGTTTAGACAGGGTCATGATGAGCACACACACTTACTGTCTGCAGGAAATTTCACCACATGTTTAACTGTAAGCTACCAGCGAGCCTCCTGCTGCAGAAATAAGCAGCTCATTCAGGAGTCAGGGCAAATTTACATAACCGTCAGCCCCTAAGGCTTTTTAGTGTCACACAGCTCTGCTCCTGTAGCATGAAGGCATTAAGAACCCTCCTGTTGACATCAAACAATGAAAATGCCATGTCAGTGTTGAACGCCCTGTTGAAAGTGAGAAGCGTCTGCTTAATGTAACGGCGTATAAGAAAATGAAATCATCTCAGAAACGGCATAAAAATGCTATAAAAAAAAAAAACTTCAGACAAAATGGATCACTTACAGCATTGATAGAAGGCAGACTGTCAGATGCGAGCTTTGTAATGTGAACTGATAGGATGGGGGCAGCAAATCGAATGCCACAGTTTGCTGAGTCACTCCTGCTGCTTTGCAATGATGAGCACAGTAAATATTACCTCGTTAAAATAATGGCAGAAACCACAGAGTCACCCTCTTTTTATGTAAATGCTGCAAAACGTGACAGCAGACCCAAAAAAGCTCCACCACACCACCAATTGTTTACTACAGACAGTAGAAATGGAGGTATGCAAGTTTTTGGTCCCAAGAAAGTGAAGGAAACATGAGCAGACGTGTACTCCTGCTCATCTGACCTACTGTTAGACAAATATAAAAGATCAAGGCCCGCAGCGCTGCAGTCTGTGCATACAGTGCAATGAGGAAACCCTACATACATGCAATTTATCCTGTTAATCTAAAGCAGCATAATGCACAGTTTGTAAAATTAGTTCACCATCAAAACACTAGAGCAGCAGCTATCCAAATATTTAGTGATTCATTTAGTTTTTTTTTTTTGATTAGTCTAAAAAACTATTTTTAAAACTTAAAAAACCTATTGCACATTTTATATGCACTGTTGACGGCTAAAAGCCACAATTAATATCCATCCATCCATTTTCTCGAGCTTATCTCTCAGGGTAACGTTGGAGCTGGTGATCATCTCCAGCAGGCTATGGGCGAAGGCGGGGTACACCCTGGGCAGGTTGCCAGATTTCCAAGGGCAACATGGAGCACAAACACTCACACCTGATGGAAATTTAAAAAATGCAGATTCACCTAACAGGTATTTATTTAGACTTTGGGAGGAGGCGCATAAACAGAGGGCTCAACAATATTGATTAAAAATGATTTTTTTTCTCACTCAACTTTCCTTCTAAAAATGACAAATAAGACATTGCTTTAAAAACTAGCTTTTTTAAGTTCAAATAGTGCCCTCAATGAAAAAAAAAAAAACTAGAAAAGCACTGAGCCCAGACCTCCGCCAAGCAGCCATTTAACCCAATATTCTTAATTTCAACAAGCGCAACAGCCACAGAAATTGTGTTTTCTAAAATATTTACCTCCTTAGTTGGACATATATGTGATAAACCTGTTTATTTAAGGGACCTTGAGTCAGCACTATGAAAATTTTTTATTTAGACAGTTACAATTGCAATACCTGCTAACCGCCCATTAGCTAAGTACGGGCATCGACTCGGGTTGACAGAGAGACCAGCTTCTAAAGACGAGGGTAGAATGGACATAGGCAGGTCAGGAAGGATTCCCAAAAGGCTGTTCTGTCAAGTTAAACTGGCCCGATGATCGGACTGTTATATAGAAGAATATTTGTCAGTGTGAAGCTTTTAAACCTAAGAATGCTGCACGAGCTGTGAAGCATGGAGGCGGTAGCATCATGCTCTGCACTGGTAGACTGAGTAAAAAAAATAGGGTTTGACCTGACAATCAGCCGAAACACCAGTGGATTTCCCTACATCTGATCATGATAGCAAATACATTAAATAATGAATCAGAAAACACACAGCCTGTGGAACAAGCAGTCTGTTAAATAAATACTTTCAGATCAGCTCTACCAATTCTTCCAGGAAGAGAGGTCCAATATCCAATCAGAATCAGGCCAGAAGCGCAATCATGGCCTCAAATTTTTATACAGAGAAGGGGGATTTTAGCTTTTTAGAACAAATCTGATTTCCTTCCATGCAATTTTCTTAGAGTGATAACATGTTTCCAACTTTGTTGGAATGTCTAAAAAAAACTCACACCTCAAAAATCATCCAACATTTCTGCAGCTAACAAGCAACAACCAAAGGAAGTGGAAGAATAACTGTTAGAAAAAAGTCACCAAAGTGTACTTTGCAATGGATGGCTTTGGACAAACTTAAAATGCTTATAAACAGTAGAAATTTTACAATGGCCTCTTATTGAGCTGAATCCAAAGATAAACCTCAGCAGTGCTCACAGATGACCAATAAAAGCTGAACTAAAAAAGAAAAGACCTCTTTATCAAGTTTCAGTGTCTTATTTCTCAGTGTGTCTGATTTCTGAGACCCAGGAAGTGATTTATGGCTGTAAATGTTACGTGATGGACACCTCACTCCGACAGCACCAAGAATAGCAGCAGGACAGATCCAGCTGGGGGTTCTGTACGGTGGGGATCCCTAAAAGGACATCCTCTCCCAGCCCTTGGCCTCCATCCCCAGACTCCAACAATTCCCACTTTTGATTTCTGCCACCGGACCTGCAGGTTATTCCTGGGACCGATGACATGATCCACATTTTCCCACTCAGGGACATGAGCTCCCAGTGGGGGTTGGCTCAGCCCAGGCTGCCTAAAATAGAGGAGGTTACCAGGGTTGCACCCCTGGTGGTGCATTGTTCACAGAATAAAGACAAGGCATCTCTGAGGAGATTGCTGCAGCTAAGACAGAGACTTGGAGCAGCCCAAAAGATGTACAAGATATAGAGCTACAAATCAGAGGTTTTACAGACATTTTGCTGAGTTGTTATGACTAAGCTGCTTCAGGAGTCCTACAGTTGCCCCAATACTATAATCTCAAATTTGATACCGATACTAGGAATAATACTTGACGTTTTTGATACCATAGCAACAAAAGGGCTAAATCATTTCTCATTAAGAGCAAAACCCTTTTTATTATTACAACTTTCATTTTCTTGATTAAGAAAAAAAGCAACTAGAAAAGGTCTAAGCCATTATCAAGAACCAAAATATTCAGAACTGAAAGAAAACCATTTCCTTGTCTCATTAAGACTGTGGCAATGAGGAATATTTGTCATCCATGGTAAGGTGCAGGGGGTAAAGTAAGTAAAACTGCATTTTTTGTGGTATAAAATATTTGATTGTTGGCTTCATCACACAGCCCTTAACTCAATCCCAGACTAAAGCCGAATGAAGAACCAGTTTGTTACAACCTACATGCGTTTCAGGATAGCATAACAGAAGGACAATAGGCGTGGCATAGAATGGAAGAGCAGCCCATTGGTGTAGAAAAGGAAGAAGAGGGAAAAAGGAAGAAGATGCTGGGCTAGTAACGAAGAGATGCGGGTTTACAGCAACATATAATCATTTTAAAGTAGCAACAGAAATGCAATGAGAAGGACTTTGTTCTTTCAGCTTTTTATTCTTTTGATCAGGCAAACTAGTGAAGTAATAGTAACCCAAATGAGTTAACCTGCGCTGAATTAACCTGAGCCTTTCCAACATGAATAGATGAGGTACTAATGATTAGGGAGGTCACACTGCTGGTTAAAGTGAGAAAACCAACTCTTTCAGTGGGCTCGGCTTGCTTTCACATAGACATTTAGCCTGGACTAACATCATGAAGCTGGAGCCTCTTAATCGGTATCATATTGGAAATGAAAAAGTTGGATGGGGACCCCCCAAATTTCCATTGCAATGTAGCACCATTTCAGTGGGAGTGGGGTCTTTAACGGCAATGTGAAACAGTAGTGAACAGCCCAGACTGGTGCTCTGTGAAGTAAAACAGGAGTGCAAGACAAGGCTATTGACGACGAGATAAAGCAAGCTGGATAAGTACAGAAGAGACAGAGAAACAATAAAAGATTCCATCTAGAGCACAAGAATAAATAAGCCGAAGCTAACCTAATACTAGTCAGGTAGGACAGTGCTCAAACAGAATGAGCCCAGCTTAATGTGATGCGATGGTTAAGATATTGTTCATTAAGGTATGCTTGTCCCATGAGGAAATTCTCTACATGTTAAACCTCCACTGCTGATCCACTGATCACTAGTGCTCTGATGCCTTGACAGAGGATTTGGATTCATAATCAAACTAAATTACAAACTCATACAAGTAGTAAACAATTTTGCTAATTAGGTGACTAATTAATTAAGATTAATTGTTTAATTTGATCTAATTTGGGTTTCTTGCTTTAGCTTCAGATGGTTTAAAATAAGGCTGGGCTCACATTGAATAATGCTTCTGTGCAGCTGCAGAAAATAAGCTCACGTGAGTTCACGCTCTTTCCAGTTCTTGCACAAAATTCTCCATCTCTGCTTATAAACATCTCTTTTCATACTCCAATACCCCACCCTCTATGGCTTTTTGTTTTGCCTTTTCTTTTTTGCTAGTGAAGTCAGCAAAGGTCGATGATGTGAACTTCATAGCGACTTTTTCTGTTTAGCATGTGAAACATGGGAGTTTGATACAGACCATATAAGAAAGGAATACAATCTTTCCAAATAAAAACTCTTTTTTTTTATTTCTAAGGAAAAGTTTTACAGTCTTCACGTTTCCTCAAAGATTAGTCTAAACAATAGGCTCTGTCATGCTGGAGAGAAGTTAGAAGGGGAAAAAGGAGAGAAACATGCAGTTGAGGGGACAGAAAGTCGGGCCAGCAGAGGAAGACTGTTCAGACTAAAGGTGCAGTTAAGCTGATGTGTTTGTTGATTACAGCAACAAACACTAAAACAGAGATTGTGAAAACCTAGGCTTACTCTCTGCAGTTCACTTTAACAGGGCCAGCTTCACTGCTTGATCTGACTGGTGAATGTCCAGTGAAATATGGGGTTTAGTCTTTAGCTTTCTGATTGATAATATTTATATGTTATTTCAGTCCAAAGAAGGCAAGATTATCATTTTCCTGACATCTTGACATCCTTTTTCTGTTAAGTAATGATGAAATTAAACTGAGGTCTATATACATACTCCTGTAGTCTTAAGGAAGTAAAGACAAGACTGATTCATATTCAAACATGTTTTACTAATAAGAAAAACATTTCATTTGTAAATGAAAACCAAGACTTTTTTTAATCGTTTGTATGCTGATCTCCCCAGACCAGTGTTAGCATTGTTCTGTCCTGCTGGTGCAACACTTTGCTAATCATATTTAACGTCTGTTTGAATTACAACACAACTGATGACCTGCTGCTTTATTGCAAGTATCACCTCCCCCACAGCTGTCTGCTTTGCCCGGACTGGTGGTAAATCTCTGTTCACTGGAAGCCAAGAAGTGCTGCTTTTTGATTGATTGGTTTATGTTCTCAAAACAATTCAGCATCCAACTGTTTAGCATATTTTTAAGAATAAAAAAAAAAACTAAGAAACCCCATCATCCTGTTTTTTCTAGCGACAAAGGTGGTTGGATCATTTATGGTATATTTTCACAATCTGGCCTAAAATTCTAATTTGTAAAAGCTTTTTTTGTCATTATTACTGTCGGAACACATGGTTTCCTTATGTGTTGATTTTTCGTGTTTGTTTAAAGTCACAATAAGCTGGATGAGAACTTTAACAGCATGTCAGCTGCAAGTCTGTGGGTTTACCCACCTGGCACCCAAACCCTCTATGTTAACAGATGATAACACCTACCTGCATGTCTTTAGTTGCAATTTCTCCTGGAGTGGGCCAGCTGTTTGTGTCGCCAAAGTCTCCAACCTGAGCAAGAACAAGAGAAAAAGTCCAAACATTAGGGATGTTCAGATATGTTTGTCATGTCATCCCAAATCTCATTGTACTCCCAAATCTCATTGTATCCGTTGCAGAATATAATGACAATAAAGGCTTTTTGACTTTGACTGTCATTTCCACCTTGGTAGATTTCAAAATAAAGTGCCGTCTCCATTTTTCTCCTAATTTACAATGGAAAAAAAAAACCTTACCTATTAAAGAACTGAACAGTGAACTATTTTAAGGGCTGTAAAAACAAAACCAATCCCAGAGGAGAACAGACCACTCACATTTCAAGTGCAGTCAGGACAGTCAGCCAGAAACTCTGCACTACTACAATCTACTTTCTTTGAATTCATCTATAAAATGAATTATATTTATTCATACTATTATTCTGTTATTTTCTTCAACCCGTCTTTACCCCTTTTAAATTTGCATTTTGGTTGTTTTCAGTTTCCAATATGGTGCAAGTAATGGAAAACAAGAGTTGATGAGGTTGGGGTGTAATTATGTATTTTCTATATTGGATGACAAAAAGGTAGTGTGTTTAATTGTGGAAAGCACTTTAAATTACATTAAGTGCATGAAAAGCTCTTTTTAAATAAAGTTGAATTGATTAATTTAACAGATTTTTTTTTTTTTAATTCTGAAGATTTTGAGCAGCAACTACAACTTGCAATGGGCTGGACCCCCCTTTGACCCATAGTAAAGCTGGGCCAAATAGACCATGATGATCATCTACAGCAGTGGTCTGCAAAATAAAAATCCAAAGAGCCAATTAGCCCAGAGTATAGCCAAATAACATTTTTAGAGACAAACACATTGCATCCTATTTTCTCGAAAACACAGCTTGTTATCTTTGGTACATATCCTGCATAGGAAAGCTGCTGAAATTTAACACACAAATTCCCAAGCTAATAATAAGAGATTTAAAAACACATTTCTCATACTTTTAATGTCATTCTGTTGTGAAAATTTAGCTGCAATATTCTTAAAAAAAACAACACAAAGTCTTATAAGCTTTGTGTTGTTTTTTTGTCATGCTTAAAAATAGGGGTCTAAGAAAAATAAAAAATAAAAACACTGCCAAACACTAGATTATTCCATTAGCTGATATTTGTATTGATTCAAAATATGCCTGAGAGGATCTTAAATGTGAAAGATATTTATAGGCAAATATCCATGTCACTGTTATTTTTATGCAACTCTTGAACGTTCAGCCACTAGTTGGTGCTGCACTACCCAAGAGCCTATTCAGTAGGTCTTCACCATCTGCAGCAATGAAATGGGGTTTTCAAGGGCTTTATTAAAATAAATGAATGAAAAAACAAAGTAAAATCACAATAAATCATCTTTACTAAGGTGTAGGGACAAATCGTATCATGAGGGGTGTATTGTTAAAGCAAGTTACATTTCAGTCAGTTCAGCTCCTTTTCATAGACAATGTTGGGCTGGTACCATATAATGCAGAGTCTCTATCAGATACATACACCTATTTTTCCACTCTCAGCAACATTTAATACAGAAACGAAACTCAAGTGTCGAGGGGGGAAAAGTCCATCTAAGCTAGGGGTACACAGTTTTGTCGGCTGAGCGATGGACCCAGGTGTCCTTTTTTGATCGGCCAATACTCCGATGTGAAACCATGGGCTTCCTGACAATGCGAGCAGACAAAGATTTAAAGTCGTAGGGAAGCAGCTGTTCCAACGGTTGCAGTCCCAAATTCTCCAGAGTGGTGCCGGACTTTACATGAGTGAACAAAGTGAATGTGATTGGTCGATTATCAAGGGGGTGGGATTGTTGTGGTGGAAGGTTCGCAAGCATGTTTGATTGTGGCCGTTTTCTCAGAAGCATCTTGCTAACCAGTTAGCAACTTAGTGCTAGTAGGTTTCCAATGGGAAATTCCATTGGGACCAAGTAGCGCTAAATTGGTGACTTATTGGACACCTCACTCCGACAGCACCAAGAATAGCAGCAGGACAGATCCAGCTGGGGGTTCTGTACGGTGGGGATCCCTAAAAGGACATCCTCTCCCAGCCCTTGGCCTCCATCCCCAGACTCCAACTAGTGCTAGTAGGTTCCCAATGGGAAATTCCATTGGGACCAAGTAGTGCTAAATTGGTGACTTATAAACGACACTGTCAAGGAACGCTACGGACAGCGGAAACATGCAAGAGGAGGAGAGTTTTGTGTCGGAGGTCGTGGATGAGTCTCCTCTGTCATACATTTTTTATTTAGAGGAGGAAAGCGGGGACGAATTTGTTGTGGAAGAGGACGCCAGGGCGGCAGAAGCTTGGTTTGGTGTAGAAGGCTTACAGCCGTACATGTTTGAGCCCTTGCCTCGCAACGCTGCCAGTTCTGTTAGCTCTACGCCTGCTGAAGACACAGACGTCCATCCCCCAGAACACTAGGACGTAACTCAATGGAAAAGGAAATTATTCTTATTTCAACCGTTGTGTATATTAGCTGCGACATATGAATCAAGTTGCTATGCCCAAAAAAACTCGATCGACAGATGACCGTTGATATATGAATGGCCGAATTTAGGTGTACTAACTGACTTATAACTAACTGGCCTTCATAAGATAACGGGAAAAAAAGACCTTTTTTTTTTTTTTTTTTTTATAGAAATTTTCAACATTTTGGGACAATATCTTCTGATAAAGAGCACATTTATGTATATGTTTAAGCCAGAATTATTTGACATTTAAATATGACTTCCCTACGACTTTAAAGATCGGTTACCAGTGATTGGCCAGAAAACCGTTTTCACAAAGCATAAATGCTAGAGTGGTTTAACATCCTTAAACAGGAGAAAGGGTCTGTGGCTTGTCAATCTCCTGTTTAACTATAAAGCCAACTTTTACAAAGTTGCTTTTTTCTGGCTTCTTTGAATATCAACCAAAAACCTGTTTTTATTCACTGCCTGTAGTTTTATTAGTCTCTACTGAGCCGTTTAATACTTCTTATGAAACAGCCATGATGCTTTAAGGTGAAGGTGTGGTTAGAAAGGAGGAAACGACAGCAGCCTTCTTTAATTTTGGTGAAAGAAAGCAGAAATCTGAATAAAACGCTTTCAGGGGCATTTTGCCTGTTCTTATCTTCCGTCTCGTTTGCTTAGCACAGCACAGCACAACAAAGACCATCACCACCCGAGCCAACCAACGGCCCTGGATGACTGAGGAGGTCCGCCACGCGCTAAAAGCACGGAACTCAGCCTTCAAGTCTGGTGACAAGGAGGCACTGAGGACAGCTAGAGCCACCCTGAACCGTGCCATCAGGTTAGCAAAGCGGAACCATAACCAGAAAATCCAGCATCTGTTCCACGACGCCAACAACACCAGGAGCATGTGGCAAGGCATACGGGCGATCACAGACTACAACACGCCCCCTGCCCCGGTGGATGAAGTTGATGCTGACTTCCTAAACGGACTAAATAACTTCTTTGGGAGGTTTGAGGCACTAAATCGCACTCCAGCAGTGAAGGCTGTCCCACATCAGGAAGAGGAGGTTCTCTGCCTTGACACAGCCGACGTGTGGAAGACTCTGAGGAGGGTCAACCCGCGGAAGGCCCCAGGTCCCGACAACATACCTGGGCGGGTGCTCAAGGAGTGTGCAGGTCAGCTAGCTGGTGTCCTCACGGACATTTTTAACACCTCGCTGGAGCAAGCCACAGTGCCAGCATGCTTCAAGTCTGCCTCCATCATCCCAGTGCCAAAGAAACCTCAAGTCACCTGCTACAACGACTACCGGCCCGTCGCACTGACTCCCATCATGATGAAGTGCTTTGAAAGGCTGGTAAAGGAACACATCGTCTCCAGTCTCCCCCCAACACTCGACCCGTTCCAGTTTGCCTACCGGCGAAACCGCTCCACTGAGGACGCCATCTCCTCTGCTCTTCACCTGAGCCTGGCCCACCTGGAGGAGAAGAACACCCACGTGCGGATGCTGTTCCTGGACTTCAGTTCAGCGTTTAACACCATCATCCCACAGCACCTGGTGGGAAAGCTGGAACATCTGGGCTTCAACACACCCCTTCGAAACTGGCTGCTGGACTTCCTCACCAACAGACCTCAGTCAGTCCGGGTCGGTCAGAACACCTCTGATGTCATCACCCTCAGCACGGGCTCCCCTCAGGGCTGCGTCCTGAGCCCCCTGCTGTTCACCCTGATGACATATGACTGCGTCCCCAGGTTCACCACCAATCACATCGTGAAGTTTGCGGACGACACCACGGTGGTGGGCCTCATCAGGGACGACAACGACCGGGACTACAGAGAGGAGGTGGAGCAGCTGGTGGACTGGTGCAGTGAAAACAGTCTGATCCTGAACGTGGAGAAGACGAAGGAGATCATCGTCGACTTCAGGAAAAACCGCCCCCACCATGCTCCACTGCTCATCAACAGCTCAGCTGTGGAGGTGGTCAGCAGCACAAAGTTCCTGGGGGTGCACATCACGGACAACCTCACCTGGACTGTAAACACTTCATCTCTAGTGAAGAGGGCACAGAAGCGCTTGTACTTTCTGCGGAGGATGAGGAGAGCCCGCCTGCCCCCGCCCATCCTCACAACCTTCTACAGAAGCACCATAGAGAGCGTTCTGACCAGCTGTCTCTCTCTGTGGTGTGGAGGCTGCAGAGCTTCTGACTGGAAGAATGTGAGGAGGGTGGTGAGGACAGCGGAAGGAATCATTGGGGCTCCTCTTCCCTCCATTAAGGACATTTCATCACAGCGCTGTGTGTCCCGAGCCCGTAATATCATCAAAGACCCCTCACACCCCCACCATGGACTGTTCTCCCTGCTGCCCTCTGGAAAGAGGTTCCGCAGCATCCGCTGCAGATCCACCAGGTTGTGCAACAGCTTCTTCCCCACTGCCATCAGACTGTTGAACCTTTGATCCACAATCCGAACTCTGCACCTATTGCACATTATCGGGCATCAAATGCTGCTGAACTTTTAACTTTTAGCCCTTTAAATTGTTCATCTCATTGTATTTTTCAATAACGCATTTTTTGCACAAATGCCATTTTGCACTGAACCACTGCAACTTGCACACTGTCTCTTATCCTCTGCACTGTTCACACTTTGACCACTGCTGCACTTTTTGTATTTTTCTATAACTCGTGCCATTGTGAAATATCAATGCAACGTTCATAAGCTGTATGTAACGCAATTTCGTTCTGTATGCACCCTGTGCATACAAAATGACAAATAAAGAAGTCTAAGTCTAAGTCTAAGTCTTAGCAGCAACATGTTTGGATTCCAGGAAGTGGGGAGGTACACATCTGTCTCATGTGACCTTGGCTTATTTGGACTGTTAGAAATCATTTTCCATTAGTACAGAAGCAATAGCTATTTTCCAGACATCTAAACAAATATTTGGATTATCTGGCCTCTAATTAAGAACAACTAACAAAAATAGCGATTGTTTTGTTTAACCAAAAAGACAGTAAAACACGCTCTGGCTCCAACTCTCAGGACTTTAGAGTCATTATGGGGATGCTTAAAGGACGCAGATGACCGTCCTGGTTCATAACAAAATGTCAACTCGACTGCAGATGTATGCTGAGGCTCATATTTGTACACAAAACTCTGTGTACCTTTGTCCCCTTCAGATAAAACTGTAGAGTTTTAAAAACTGGTTAAAGCTTTAAGCACAATTTACAATCTACTACAGGAACAATGATTGGAACAGGAACGCTAAGGGAAACTGAAGGTAGACATGTTTTGTAAGGATGAAAGAAAGGCAACCTTTACCAAATCGACGAGTAACGTCTGGGAAATCCAACCCTTTTTCAACCTTTTATTTTGTATCATCACCTGGAACCTTACATGCCGTCCTGAAAGGAATAACTACAGCTACTCTGGGTTTTCAGTAATGGTGGTAACAATACCTTCACATGAATGTGACCATCCCACATGTTCACTGCTTACTTTCATTAGAAATGTGTTTCTACTTCAGAGAGATTTACCTTTCAGCTTTCAATGGGAAAAAGTCTAAGGAACAACTGAGCCTAGAGAAAATCTTTAAATTATTTTTCATCTCTGCAGGGAGAAGAAAAGAGCACATTTAACTCCGTTAATGCAGAGAATCAAATAAGCAGACCAGAGGCTATTACCTTTCCTCCACGTCTCGCTTTGGGTGGAATCCCCGCTCTGACCACTTTGGCAGGACCGCTTGACTCTGTGGGAAAACAACAAAAAAAGGACGACAGTCAGCTACTAGACAAAGACCATTTCTTCTAATAACTACTAGAAGATGGTTCTTTTATTTCTTTAGTCAATAAAACCCATAAGTACCACATAAGTTCAAAGCACTAAATGTATAAAACAAAGCTCATATGAATTATTCTGCAAATTTGTTCTTTCAGGAACCTCCTACTTTTCCTGTTGAAGGTTTGCTGTGTGAATACAGCTATTATCAGGGTTTGCTGTGTGTGGCTCTAACTGTTTCTTAGTTTTACTGTGATCAGGCAGGCGATGTGAGAAGTGAAAGCAGCTCACAGGGAGCATTTAACACCACAGACTAAATCCTCCTAAGCTCCTGAAGGGGAATCATGTCGAGGGACGTCGCCTGACGCTAAACAGGAGAAACCATTATTGAAAAAAATAACTGACTTGCAGAAACAGCCTGAGTTTCTCTCTTTTTTTTTGGAAATAGTATAAACAACCACGCTCTTAAGTTAAGTTAAAAAAAACAAAGTGTGCAAAATCTTTTTGTATGGTTCCTTTTTTGTTGTTCTTTAAAAAAAAAAAAAAAAAAAAATGTCACCTTGTTTTAGTTATTCTTTTTCCCCTAATAAATGCCTTTATTTTCAATGTGGCATTTTTAAGAACCATAAAATTAACCTGTGCAAAAAAAAAACACCCAAAAATATAAGGAGAAAAATTTGAACGTATAGCCTTTAACATGAATATGATAACCAAATTATAAGAAGTGGAAAAGGGGGACAACTTCAATCACAAGCATGTGAAAACTACTATTCATTTAAGCATGTTAATTTTATTGAGTTTTTTAATATATGCATCTAATTAAAAAATCAAGCCTCTGTAGTGTTATATTATTTTAGATGCCATAAAGCTTTTTAATATGAAGTTAAAAGATTATGCTTTGCAATCTGAATTTACATCATTACTTTACTTTTGTCTGTAGTTCAGTCTCACCTGGACATTATTGAACATTAGAAAATGTTAGGGCAGAACCACAGCAGGTTGGATAAGAGGCCACAGCACAACCAGAGAGAAATCTAACAGCAAGCAGCCGTTGTTACTCAAATAATTATTTTTTACCAGACAATTTGTCCTCAGAAGAAAAGTATTAACTGAAACTGACACTTCTAAGAGTTACTTTTAATCTCATGCGTGTTAAACAAGATGAAGCAGCAGCAAATGTCAGAAAATGGTTAAAAATAACTTTTCAGCGTCTCAGCTGGTCTGAAAAGGTTTGTCCAGGCCTCCAGCTACCATCAGCTCCTGATATCAAACCATGCAACATTTGGACAAACTGTGACCTTTAAACAAACTGTTCAGTTTAGAGGCACAGCATTGAGAAATAGTGTAAAAGAGTCTTGGGCTACGTTCACACTGCAGCCTGAAGTGACCCAATTCCAATTTTTTTGCCCATATGTGACCTGTATCTGATCTTTTTATGACAGTCTGAACGACACAGATCGGATTTTTTCAAATGCGACCCAGGCCACTTGGATATGTGGTCCTGAATCCGATACGTATCTGATCTTTTCAAATGCGACCTGTGTCTGTACGGCCAGGTCGCATTCATCCGACCTACACGTCATTGATACTTGACAAATGTTACTAAACGTTACTAATCTGCGTCCTACTAAGCGGAGGTGGGAAAAACTAACAACCATGGCGGAAGATAACACAGAGAGCAGTCAATGGAGAGAAAGTGAGAGCTCTGTACGGACGTTGCTATTACTGCCCCACAAAACGCCATTGCAAGAAATCTGGCTCTCTTTCTTTTTGATCTTCTTAAAAAGATTTCATTCGTAATGTGCCTGCTCCTGTTGGAGAAGAACTTAAAGAACGCAATATACGCTGCAGTATTACGAGTCATGTTTACTTCCGCAAACACTGAGGACGCTTGCTACATGTGACGTCATCGCGTCCTCGAGTGCGCATGCGGGACACTTCGGTTGAACGCTTTCAGTTCACACAGTAGACCACATACAAGTCGCATATACTTGGAAGTGTGAACGGACATGCAAAAAAATCCGATTTCACAAAAAAATCGGAATTGAGCATTAAGGCCTGCAGTGTGAACGTAGCCTAAGTCACATATAGTTGCTTCACTTAGTTGCTTAAACGAGTGAAAGTGGGACATCTTCAGCAGCTGAACGTTAAACGTGGCCTAGCTTCACAAGGACAAAGAAAAAGAAACGGGGAAAAAACACACAGATGTGAAAGCTGAGACGGTTACCCTAAGATTAACGAAAGGGTTGCAAAGGCGTATTCATTTCTGCCAAACATTTACTTTTTATCAGTTTGTCTAATAGGTTTTTACAGTTAGAAAAAAGGTTAAAGATAAAATTGGCCAAACACACAGATAGGCTTTGTATGTCAACAAAAAAAGCTACAATTTTAAGAAATTAGAACTAATATATTGACCAGAAATAACCATTAAAAAACCTGCAGCACAGCAGAAAAAAAAGGAAATAAAAAATTAAGAAAAGAAACTGGTGACCAAAAATGTATTAAGCATAATTCCCCTAAGCCCAATCAGTAGAGGAAACTAACAGGTGGAAGTCCAGTTATCCCAGTGCTGCAGTCAGACCTCTAACATATTTATTACCAGGTGCAGAGAAGCTTTGACACCAAGTATATGTCCCAGCTGTTTTCATGTTAAGCAATAACCTACACACAGCTTGAGAGGTCAAGATTTGTGTGTTAGATATGAAAATGGATTGGTTTAATCAGCTTAACATCAGCGGAGGTGAAGGGAGGAGGGGCGCGCCTCCAATATAAGTAAAGGAGAAACAAGGTCATTTATCACAGAACTGGACCTAAGCTCTGTTATCAGTAAACCGCTTTCATTAGCTAGCGGTGGATTGTTACTCTCCATTCCTTTTTCCGGTTTAATCTCCCAACAGACACAAATTCACATTCACTTTGTCTAGAGCTGCAAATTTGACAATTTTGACAACAGAGTCAGTAATTACAGATGGAAAATATTTGATCATATCAGAAAACTTTAGAAGTTCCATCTGTCTGGTTAATTGGGGGACATGTCCAGATAGGCGTAGAACAGGGGTCACAAACGTGGCGCCCATGGGCACCAAGGGGCCCTCAAAGACAACATGTGATCCTTGTCAAGAACTCACCAGACATTTGAAATAAGACAATATTAATACAAATATCTATTATGTATGAAGTTTAGGTGAAGTCTGAATCCTCCAGTTCATAGGTCAGTATTGGTAGCCCTTCCTATGACTCGGCACCCATAAAGTAGCTCTAAGCCTTAAAAAGATTGGTGATCCCTGCATTAGAAGAAACACAAGATGCAACCTAATAGAAAGCCATCTGCACAAGAGGTGAACTCAAAAACGAATCCTTTGAGATAACCGATTTCCTTAACACATTAACCACATTTTTTTTAAATCAAGTTTCTTAAAAGAGTTCCAGATTTTTCTGCTTCAAAAAACCCTAAAAATTCAACAATGCATGAATTTCCCTCCCCTCCCTTTCCCATCTTCAATGCTACATAGCTATGAATGAGTTTACATACCTCTTTAAATAGGAAAGGATTGATACAAACTAATGAGGTTTTTCAGCGCCATGAAATCTATGGGAAGTTCTATAAGAGAATTAATTTAATTCTGAAGGTTTGTTTTGATAAGTTGTACAAAACGGATTTAACCTAGAAGTTTTCAGGCGAAATAGTTAACTTTTTATCTCCTACATTCCCTGTAATAAAATTTCTCCTTTTAACATTTCTTAATTAACTATTCGGCTGATGTCACTGGTACAAAAAGATCAACTTCCCAACTAAAAAACAAGCTCATTAAGGATAAGGATGTCTGTGTGAAACAAAGGTTGAGAGCGACGCAACTATTAGGGCTGGGCGATATAGAAAAAAAGCTTATCGATAAAAAAAAATGCATATTGATCGATATCGATAATTATTGAAAAGATTTGAAACCATATTTTATGTGCAGCTCTGCCTGGACTTTTTATGATATTGCTAAATGATTTAATTTTAATAAAAAACACAAACACAGACTTCGAATTAAATCTTTATTTAACCAACTTTTTTAACCATAACAGAATTGTTTAAAAGAAAAATAACTTAAGAGACCCGAGTTATGTTATTAAATACTGACAAAGAATAAACTAAAGTGACCAGAAAAGTGACCAAAATAAATATAACAAATAAATAAATGCCCCCCCACCGCCGCCGCCGCCCCCGTTTCCTGCTTTAATCTGAGTTATTACTTTGAAGTTTCTGGGCCCTCAGCATTTTTATCTCAATTGTTAGAACTACGTGGGAAACTGCCCAAAACTGAAAATATATATATATTTTCCCGAAATTCCCGAAGATTCCTCGGAGGAGAGCCGCGTCGGGGCCTACACAGCTCGTACTCCTGTGGCTGTGTGCGGCTGAGATGATAAAAAAAAAAAAAGTTGGTTTCGTTATCAGACTGGTTTTCACTGGTTCCCGACACATTTTAAAGATGACTGTGGTTTGTATTTGGTCCAACTTGCCATGACCGAAATACTGCCAGACTGCCGAACTACAAAAACCCTTCTTTGAAACAATTTCCTCCGCCTCTCCTTGCTGCGACATCTTCATGTGCTCTGTGTTGTGGTTTGAGAGGGCGGCGCTTGGTGACGGCATGCCTGGGTCCGCGATCGTGATTGGTTGGGAGGATGCAGTGACTAGCATAAACCTACATGCTAGGCTACAATGAGAAGGAAGGAAAACTGCGTTTCTTTTTTTAATCGAACTTTTATCGACCCTCTTTTTTTCTATTGCGCCACACGTCTATCGATCGATATATATCGTTATTGAATTATCGCCCAGCCCTAGCAACTATAGTAACAGAAAAATAAATAAATAAACCAGCAAAGATCTGTGAATAACACAGCCTGAATCGCATCATATGCTATAAGTAAAAGCAAAGGCAATGTTCAGGTGGGGGCCGCTTTGTTTCCAACTTCACCCTC